TATCTTAGGGGGAGTTTTCAGTCCTTCACAGTTGAGTATGATGTTAGCTGTGGGTTTTTCTTTTTGGCAGTACTGGGATTTCAACTTATTGCTTCACACGTAGCGGGGCCAAGTGGCTCACCGACTCAAAGCTCCCAGCCTCAATCTGTTTCATAATGGCCTTAACTACACTTCAGACAAGATCTTTTGTTTTCTCTCTCCTTTTTGGTTCGTTATATTATATGTGATACAAGCTTGGTTCATTTCTCCCGCCTGCCCCCCACCCCCCTCCCTTACCACCCAGTCCGCCCCCTCCTCGCCCCCCCCCCAATACCCAGGCAGAAACTATATTTCCCTTATTTTTTCTAAATTTTTTGGTAAGAGAGTATAACGCAATAATGGAAGGAAACAAGGGTTTTTGGGCTTGGTTGAGAAAGGATAGCTATACAGGGCTTGACGTTCACATTGATTTCCGGTGCGTGGGTGTTACCTTCTAGGTTAATTCTTTTTGATCTAAACTTTTCTTAGTACCTTTCCTTTTCCTATTGGCCTCAGTTGTTTAGAGGTATCTGCTTTAGTTTCTCTGCGTTGAGGGCAACAAATGCTAGCTAATTTTTTAGGTGTCTTACCTATCACTCACCCCCCTTCGTGTGCTCTCGCTTTATTAGTCCAATCCCCTTGTTGTGTTTACCCTTGATCTAATGTCCACATAAGAGGAGAATACGATTTTTGGTCTTTTGGCCAGGCTAACCTCAGTCAGAATGATGTTCTCCAATTCCATCCATTTACCAACGAATGATAACATTTCGTTCTTCTTCATGGCCTGCATAGAATCCATTTGTATACATTACCACATTTCTTTAACCCATTTGTCAGTGGTGGGGCATCTTGGCTGTTCCATAACTTAAAGGGCTATTGTGAATAGTGCCGCAATAAAACATGGGTGTGGCAGGATGCCTCTGAGTAACAGTCTTTTGGGTATAATCCCCAAGAGTGGTATTACTGGATCAAATGCGCTTAGATCGTATTGTCTAGCTTTTTAAGTAGCTCCAAATTTTTTTCCAGGAGTGTTACGTAGTCTTACATTCCCCAAAACAGTGTAAGAGGTTCTTCCCCCGCATCCTCGCCAACCTGTTGTTTGGGTGTGTGTTGCTGATGATGGGCTATTTCTAACAGGGGTGGTGGAATCTTGTGCGTAGCGACTGGTTTTAATTTGCATTATCCTTTACTTGCTAGGAGATGGTGAGATTTTTTCATGTGGTTTTCTGGCCATTCTGAATTTTCTTCTTTTGAGAAAGTTCTGTTTGGTCACGTGCCAGTTCTTAATTGGTTCATTAGCTGTTGGGAGAATTTAAGTATTTTTAACGTTCACCTGTAATATTCTGGTTATTCAGTCCTGTTGTGTGATTATAGTTGGGCATAATATTTTTCCCACTCTGGGTGTTTCTTCAGTTTAGAGACATTTCGTTTGGATGAACAGAAGCCTTTTTAGTTTGTTATGAGGTCCCATTTAATTCTATTGCTATCTCTAGTTGCCGTACTGCGGGGGTTTCATGAGAAGTTCTTACCTATACCTACATAACTCCAGAGTATTTCCTAGCTCTTTGTGTATCAACTTAAGAGTTTGGGGTTCTGATTATAAAGATCCTTGATCGCATTTGAGTGAATCTTGGTATAGGTGATATACATGGAGCTGTTTCAGTTTTTTGCAGACTGCTAACCCAGTTTCCCAGCAGTTTTTGTTTGAAGAGGCTGCTTTTCTCCATCATTATATTTTTTAGCTCCTTTGTCAAAGATAAGTTGGTTATAGTTGTGTGGCTTCATCCTGGGTCCTCTATTCTGTTCCACTGGTCTTCATGTCTGTTTTTGTGCCAGTACCATGCTGTTTTTATTGTTATTGCTTTGTAATATAGTTTCAAGTCCAGACAAGATCTTTACTACTCCTGGTGTATAGAGTACATTTGTCATGTGAGGGTGCTGAATTTTATCAGATGCTTCTTCTCTATGTCTTCTGTCCTTTATTTTATTAATATGGTTCAAATACACTGATTTTCGTATCTGAACCAACCTTGCACTCCTGAAAAACATGCCACTTGGTCATTGTACAATCCTTTGTATAGGTTGCTGCATTCAGTTTGCTAGTATTTTGTTTGAGAGTTTTTCTCTACGTCATTGTGAGGTACTGTAGTGCTTATGTGCAAGCATCCTCGTTTTACCTAAAGATGGCCCCAAAGTGCGAGAACAGTGACGCTGGCAACTCACACATGCAAAAGAATCATAAAGAGCTTCCGTTAAGTGAAAAGATGAACTTTCCTGGCTAAATAGGAAAAACCTTTTTTAGGGTTTGATGTGATCCACAACTTCAAGCACCTACTGGATGTGTTGGAATATATACCATTTCAGTGTCCAAAACAAGGACTGCATTGCTGGGCACCGGTGGCTCACACCTGTAATCCTAGCTACTCAGGAGGCAGAGATCAGGAGGATCACGGTTCAAAGCCAGCTGGGGCAAATAGTTTGGGAGACCCTATCTCAAAAAACCCTTCACAAAAATAGGGCTGGTGGAGTGGCTTAAGGTGTAGTGCAAGCCCAAGTACCGAAAAAAAAGGACAGCATGAAGAGACCAATTATATCGGTGATAATCATGGAGTTGGAGAGCTAGAGTGTCTCACAAAAAGGGAAAAAACACAGACTCAACTGGACATGGACTGACCAAGTCAGAGCGAGGACAGTCTTTCTTTTCTTTCTTTCTCTTTCTTTCTTAAGACAGGCTCTTACTATGATGCCCAGGCTAGGCTAGCCTCCAACTCCTGGACTCAAGCAATCATCCTGCCAAAGCCTGCCAAGCAGCTGGGACTACAGGTACATACTACCATACTAAGTTCCAGAGTCTTTTTCTTATACAGTTAAAGAATTTTAGAACTTAATGGTAAGGAGACAAACTGAAGATGGACAACACTGAGTTTTGGAGAAAGGAAGTAAGTCAGAAGGCTTATATTCCCAAGAATAATGGCAACAGAGTGGGAAATGTGAGGTAGTGTCATTGGGGGTGCACCCTTGAAGGGAACATTGGGACTCTGGCCTCTTTTTTCTCTTTGTTTTCTGGCTGTCATGAGGTAAACAGCCTCCTTCACCACATGCTCCCACTGCCATGATCTACTGCCTCACTACAGGTCCAAAGGGATGGGACCAAGACACCATAGACTGAAACCATGAGCCAAAATAATTGTGTGTGTGTGTACTGGGGACTGAGCCTGTTGTGTGCTGGGTAAGCACTCTATCAATGTGTTACATCCTCAGTCCTCTTTCCTCCTTTTAAAGATGTTTCTCTTGAGCATCTTCTGACAACAGAGAGCTAACTAACATACCCTCTGCTGGTTGGGTGGTCTTTGGCAAGTTATCCAACACTAGCCTAAGAGGGGCTAGGTGAGTTCCACTTTAAACCCTCAGAACAGTCCCACAATAGTAGAAGCTGGCATCTGAGTACTATTTCCTCATCTAGAAGAGCTTCTGGAGCAATAGTCCAGAGACAACAGGCATAGACTTGGTACACAGCATGTACATCTTGCTCATACCTTCATTTTCATCTCTCTGCTTCTCTCTCAATCCTAGGTGGATGGCATCCTAAGTCTAACAGGACAAGGACGACCTTGACTTCAAGCAGTAAAAAGTATGTACACATTTTATATGGGGATCCAGTACACACATGACCATATATAAATGAAAGTTTCATAAAGCAATTTAAATTCACTGGGTGTGAGACACTCATTTTTCTAATCTTCTGTATTTTATTTTTCAAAAAGCTAGTTATGGACCTAATTGATTCCCCCACCTTTCCAGGGGACTCCATTTGTCACTATGGAGTAAGAAGGTAACTCATAAGCTGAGTAAAATCAGAAAACACACCCCAAGGTCAACACTTCCCTTTAGAACTGTCAATACTGACTAGTTACATGAATTTGTTTTCTAAACCCGAAGGAAAGCATGCAACACAGAGCCCACTGAGAAAATTCCACCACTTAGGACTGATGTCACTTTCTGGAGCAATATTCTCATTACAAATCAATAAATGCACACTTTGTTACATATTCATGCCATGCAAATTAACACTAGATGGCATCTTCACTGACTCCATGGCTCCCAGATCTGATTAACTCCACTGGACCAGACTCTAACACTATAGTCTTCTGCCAAAGCAAGCTCTTTGTTATAAAAATTATAATAAACCAAGACAACAATTTGCAGTACTCAACTACAGATCTTGACACAGCATGAACATGTGGTTCAATATCATTTTATTTAAAAATCTGCAAAGCTGAAGGAGGGATCTGATCTTTTGTTGAAAGAAAGCAATTTTCACAGTACATATTTGAGCCATTTTAGCTTTGCATTGAAAAACAGAAAAGGAAATTTCTGTTCAAGATCCTCACTCCAGCACACTGAAGCAGGTGCTTGGCATCTTGTGGTAAAATAACACCTTCCCGTGGCAGAGGCTCATAGCAAACCCTCTTACCCACATGGAACACCAGTTCTCCAGGCACACAGGTCAACTCTTATTTTCTACTGCTCTGCCAGGGCACAGAGAACCCTTAACTTTAAAGCTCGATAAGGTGATTCTTTAACTCATCACCTGCAACAAATTCAATTATCTGTTAACTGTGGAGACTTGCAAGTATAAAATACTTGAATTTTATAAGATGTTCCACATTTAATGGAACTTACATGTTAAAAAATTAGGTCAAGTACATGCCTTAGTATGTTTAAGTATTACATTAATAAAACATATTAAAACAAGATATGCAGCACGTTCTTGTACTTGGTATTACCAACTCCTGACGATTGCTACTTGATGTCCAAAAAAACCAGAAAAAGAAACCAAACACACTGGTATATAATAATGTCTGCAGGGAATGTTATGTTTTAAATTTTGTTAACTGAAATTAACCTGGAAAAAAGGTCTACAAACCATATTATTTTAAAAGATGAGGTAGATTTTTTCCTATGCAGTATAGTGAAGATAACAAAAAATTCGTACAACTTTCAAATCCTGTTTGAAAAAAGATTCAGCTATAGTCACTTATATAAACAATACACTTATGAACTTGAGGTGGAGGGGGCATCCTCAGACAGGTTCTGTAGCTGAGCTGTTACTGGAAGATTCAAGAATCAGTCTTGGGTCAATCAACTCTCTCCAAAACACAGTGATCTGAGGAAAAATATAAAATACTCAGATTAAGCACTTTATTTTGAAGTTATATAAATTTTAATAAGTTAGAAATTTTAGCTTAGCCACATAAATTCTGACTTGTGCAGAATGACTGAAGAACAAGAATTTGAGTCTTCATAAACTGAGTTCAATTACGGTATATGAACTAATTTACCTGGAAGGCAGCTAAATTTTACATTAAACATATTTCATCCTTTTTTGATTTAGAGTAGGGGCTGTGGGGCTGAGGGTGGAAGCAGGAAGTTTCAATGTGTCAGGAGGATGTGTCCTGCCAACAGGTGGCCTATGGGCCTCTTGCGGGCTACTGTGGCGGAAGTGGGCATTGCTAGGCTGTTGATGCCCTTCGCTCAGCTCTGCAGCTCTTACAGCCGCCTAAAAATAGGAGCTACTTTACAACTTGCCAAGATTAAGAAACCTGGAAGCTTGGCGACAAGGATGAATTATGACAGCCATCTAGTGTTGGAAAAGGGAACTACAGGCTTTTTATTCTCTTACTTAAAAGGGCAGACAAAAAAAACCTCCAAGGTTCAATTTTGCAATGCAGTTTTCCAGGAATACATTTCAACAAAAAAGTGGGGCTCATACACTGCAAACAAAGAAGTACAGACTGGGCCAAATCTGCTGATTCTATCACAAACTCTAAAAATGTGTTTTTGGAATATATCCTAAGAGTGTCATCTACCTTAAAAAAAAAAAAAAACGGGAAACAGTCTGGTTTCCTGTTTACATTTCAGACAAAATGAATTTTCAGGGTTAAAATTTACAGAACATTACCCATAGTATCCCAAATACACACACCTTAAGAGAGAGTGTGTACATTCTGTGCACTTTAAGGCCACCATAGCCTAACAAGCCAGCAGTGGCACTAACTCTGGTAGACAGCTGTCAAAAAGATCTAACCATGTTTCCTAAAATGGCAAGTTAGGAAAATCCTCCCTTTATGCCATTCTTTACATCCTCTATGCCATCCCTAAGGCAGGACAACAGTTAACACTGGGTTAGTAGTGGCTGAAGGGCACATACTGGAGGCTTCTGAGGGCTGCTTACATTCAGTTTTTTTATTTCAATCTGGTTATGTGGGTAAGACCACCTGTGGAAATTGTTCAAGCCACACACTCTCGTGTAACTCTATGAACGGACACGCCAGTAAAAAGTTTTTTAAATACACTCTCTTCTACTGAAATTTTTATATCACTGTAATTTTAAGCAATCCTATACTCTTAAACAAAAGCTTGTAATTTGTGTATATTGTCATATAGGCTCTTTAGGGGTCTATGATGGGGTCTTAATTTGGCACTTGGCACTTGAGACGCCCCCAGAGCCCAGATCCTTTATGGTTTTAATATAGGCAGTTCAGGAAACTGCAATGCCCCCCTCCAGACCCCATATTTTCAGTCAAAAGAGAATTCCTACCCAAGCAACGTACGAAGAAAAGTGTGCCTACCCTCTTCTCTTGTGTCACAGCATACTCTACTACCTCAGTTCCGTTTTCGTTGTGATAAACCAAATCAAACTTCCCAGGTTCTTTCATGGCTGAAACCAGAAGATAGGGCGGAAAGACAGCAATTCAGTCATTTCTCATTAGTTAAAACATTCCTCTAAAGAGAATTATATCATTGGGGAAACAGTCACAAACTGCAAATTGATGGCTTACATGCTAAAGAAAGCGCGGTGTGCTGTCACAAGAGACCCTTAGCAAGCCTATACTAGTCACAGCAGGGAGCGTGGCCATTCATCAGAGACACTCTTTCCCTCATCAAAAAGAACTGAGCGTCATGAACCGTCACCAGTACTTCCACAGTACAGTGCGGAAGCACGAAATAATCCCCAAAGACAATCACAAACACCTACTACTGAGAAACACAGGCAGAATCCAACCTTGCACGGTAGTATGGCATTAGAAAAATGACTGTGCAAACTGACACCATGCAAAACAATCTTAATAATCAATGGGAAAATTAGATTGTCTGACAATTTTGCAAGTTTTTCATCAAAACATTAAAAACACTGACAATACGGGTAGAAGAAAAAATAGTAAAAATAATATTTATATAGTACATGTGAATATAAAACATTAAAAACTGAGAAAGTGTCATTTCTTTGTAACAAACTTATCAAATGTCTTTGAGATAATGCTTGCTTGCCTTCTTGTGTAACTTTCGATGCTGAGGATCAGCTTTCAAATTTTTATCTTTTGGGCTTCTAATATGAAATAGGTTCAAAAGTTTGTTTCTTTTTCACTTTGAAATCTGTGTGAAGTTTTTTGCTGATGTCACTTCTGGGACATTTTCATCCTTTTCATCCGAGTATCCTTTTTCCCAGTGCTGGGAACAGTGCCCAGGCCTTGTGCATGATAGGCAGGTCTCTGCCATTGAGCTCTAGCCCCCTTTCCTCATTTGTGTCAGGAAGCTCACACAAACCTCAGTGCCAACATTCCCACAGTTAACTCCACTTCAATTCAATCTGGGTGGCATGTCAACATGATCACTTTTTGTTTCTTCACTGTGCTTTCATCTTTGTTGGATAACTCCCTATTTCAGTTACCCATTTTTACATATGATCTTAGCCAAAAGACCAAGAAGCATTTTTAAATGAAGTGTTTGTGTTTTTGGGGTTTTTTGGTGAGACTAGAGTTTGAACACAAGACTTGCTGCTTGCAAAGCAGGTGCTCTACCGCTTGAGCCACACCTCTAGTCCATTTTGCTCTGGTTATTTTGAACATGGGGTCTTACAAACTATTTGCCTGGGTGGCCTCAAATCTGGAGACTCCAGCTCTTGGTATCCCAAGTAGCTAGGATTACAGGGGTGATCAACCAGAGCCTAGCTTGGTTTTTTTGTTGTTGTTTATTTTATGGGTGGTACTGAGATCTGCACTTGCTAGGCAGGCTCTCTACCACTTGAGCCCTACCCCCCAGCTTTTAAAAGATTTTTGCTTGTTTCTTGCTTGGAGTTTGAACTCAGAACCTCCCGCTTGTTAGGTAAGTACTCTACCACTCAAGTCACACCTGCAGCCCTAATTACACATTTAAAAGAAAAAAAGGTATGTAGCTTTACCACTGAGACGGGAGGCAGCACAACTAAGAGCACTGCTATCTGGATGTGAATGTTAGATGCACAGTGATCAATCACTGTAGACTCTGAAAGAAGTGACATGACTGGTCACTGGTCATGCACCTCTGTTATTTACATAGTGATTTGTGGCCTAAAGAGCTATCAGTACTTTATGTAATTACAGTTATCATACCTATTGTTGTTGGGAGACTGATGTAATTTAATCAAATTATGGCAGCTAAAATTCATGCAAATGGAGTCTATGTGCATTTCTATTAGAGAACAAAAAATGTTATTTCTTGATACCCCTAAAAAGAAAAGTTCTAATTGGATGTCCTCATCATCAATTGCCAGATAAGCAGTTATCAGGCTGTGACCATGGAATTTGATCATGGACAAACTTCTTTGTTTACCATTTCTAAGAAAGGGAATTTAGGCTGGGGAGTGGCTCAAGCAGTAAGAGCTCCTGCCTAGCAAGCATGAGGCCCTGAGTTCAAACTCCAGTGCTGATTTAAAAAAAAAGAAAGAAAAAAAAAAAGCTTAAGAAAGGGAATTTCTAACAATGCAGCCTCATCAGAAGCAAGCCAGAAAGCCAGCGTATGATATAACTAATCATGTGCTTAATTTCATAAAGGAATTTTACTGAAAAACTCTTTTGACTGATTTCTATTGGAATTTTGAGTCTTTTACCTTATTAGAAAACAACTAATTGCTTTAAGAGTCTGCTTAAAAAAAAAAAAAAAAAAAAAAAAAAGCATCTCCCCTGCATTCTGCAACACATTCTACAGCAAGCTAAATGCAGCAAAAGCCCTTATTCCAAGCTTTCAGAACCAGTAACAGATGGGACTAATCAGGGATGAAGCAGAGAACCATTTAAAATAACATGATTGCCTAGCACATGCAATGCCCAGCACAACAAACAAAAGTAATATACAAGGTGAGAGTGCCTGCGCACCAGTGGCTCACTGGGAGACTAAAATCAGGAGGATCACAGTTTAAGGCCAGCGGGGGCAAGTGCTACTGGACCCCATCTCAACTGATGGCTGGGCACAGTAGCTCACACCTGTCATCCCAAGGTGTGAGGGAGGCTTGAGATCGGGAAGAAAAGCTGGGAAGGTGGGAGCGTAACATGAAGAGCATGGTCGAGCCCAGCCTGAGCAAAGAGTGAGACCTCATCTCCAAAACAACCAGACAAAAAGAGCCGGGGGCATGGCTCTAGTGGTAGAGCAGCTGCCTAGCAAGCATGAGCCCTGAGTTCAAACTCCAGGACCACTCCTTCCCCTAAAAAATGTGAGTGTGTGCATACACCCAAACTGCACTCACTTTATTTTGACTTAATACACAAGTGTTTTCATTTACCAATCTTTTGAAATAGAGCTCAGCAAGTCTTACAAGTTCACTGAACAGAAATGTCTTTCTTTTATAAACCATGCCCCTAACGTATTATCTACAATTTCCAGTTTGTGTTTTTATTTTGGTTTTGTCTTTGGTTTTTTTGTTTGTTTTTTGAGACAGTCTTGCTGTGTAGCCCAGATTGGCCTCAAACTTGTGATCCTTCTGCCTCAGCCTCCCAAGTGCCAGGAGTACAGTTGTTCACCACTGTGCTCAACAGGTTCTGGTTTTTGGGTTTTTTTTAGAAGTGATGCAAGAATGCAAAACTTAGCAAGGCGATCTAAGTACCAAATCTTCTCAGATTTTTGCTGAATTCCTCCCAATCTTGTGTAGCTGACCCACCTACACATAATAGCATTTTTCAATGATATTCCTCAATTGGCATTCAACTTAGGTTTCCCAGACATAATTCTTTTTGCAGCAGCTTTCACTAGTACATGTGGTATTCTATGAAAGCATACAATTATAGAGATAGGAAGGAGCCCAACAACTTTGAGAACCAATCCAACATCTCTTAGACCACAACACAAGCAAGGAGTGGTGCACAGGTCCCCAGGATGCAATGCACTGTCAGAGGAGAGCACGGATCAATGGTGGTGCCAATGAAGAGAACATCTGTACATAAAGAAACCACTGGAGATACCAGGAGTCTAAGTTTTCAAATTTATTTCTAAAAGACTCACCAGGTAAGGATGACAGAATTTCTATATCTACTTGCTGGGTCTCTGGATTGTGGCTTAATATTTTTCCTTCCTTTCAAAAATAAAAGTCCAAGTCAAAAATCAACATGTAAAACACTGTGCATATACTACAGATCACTCAAGTATAGACTTTAAAATGGTTACAATGGTGAACTTTTTGTGATATAAATTTTATCTCAATAAAAAGTTAAAAATAAATGGAGGGGAAATTAAAACAGTGAACTCATAAACACTCTAGCTGAATATACAGAATACCTTCAGAAATAAAGCAGAACTCTGCAATCATAACTGACAGATACCTTGAAGAAAGGTAAACATTACACTAAGTTCCCAAAAGTGACTGAAAGAGGAAAAACAGAGTAGTGTGACATACTCAAGTGAGAACTGACCAACACAGCCTGCATCAGGAGAGGCCACACAAAGCCCAGCGGTGCTGCTTCAGTCCCTGTCACTGTTAGAGCACAGTCCCCAAGCAGACACAGGAGATAAGGTCACAATCTCCTGCCCCCCAGGTCTCCTGGTTTGCAAGCTGGTTTTCAAATGTATCAAGAGGATGCACGGGTGGTGATACACTGTGTAATTTCAGCACTTAGGGAGGCTGAAGTAGGAAGTGTGCAAGTTCAAGGCCAACCTGGGCTACACAGTTGGATCCTGCCTCAAAAATTAAAAAAAAAAAAAAAAATGGGTTGGTAGAATAGCTCAAGAGGTAGAGCCCATGTCTAGCAAGTGTGAGGCCCTGAATTCAAACCCCACTAATGCAAAAAAAATTGGTGAAAAAAAAAAAAAAAGAATGCACTGCCCTGCACGTGTATGGGCAATGGTGAGACAAATGGGGGCTTTGGGGCACACAGAAACCAACCAATCAGTTCCTTTGGCACCTACCCTAGATTTCTGAGCACAGTTCATAGGTGCTTTTTATTTTTTATTTGTTTTATTTATTATTTATTTATTTATTTAAAAGATAGGGTCTTGTTAAATTGCTCAGGCTGACTGCTGGCCTTGAACTAGTAATTCGCTTGCCACAGCTGCCTGTAGATGGGATTACAAGCATTTGTCATGGTGGCAGGCAACAAGTGCTTTTATTTATTTATTTTCTTTTCTCATGTCAGATGAGTAATACACCAACACCTTTGAGGGAGGCACATGTCATGCAAAGGCGTGAATACCCAATCACCATGCTTATGAATCAAAACGGGATCCAACACATACTTTTAAAAACCAGATTCAGGACTGGGATGCAGTCAGTGTTAGAGCGTGTGCCTAGCATGCTCAAGCCCTGGGTTTGATCCCAGCACCAAAAAAAAAACCAAAACAGATTCAATGAGACTACATCCTTTTCCCATAGCACTGACAGCTGAACATTCTAGAATGCCCAAGACAGGTCTATATACATACATCTTTCCTTCTAGTGTAATAATAATTAACAATACCCCTTTCACTCATAAATATCCTGACTTAGCAAATTATATGATCACTTCATCCATGGGAGAAGCTAAGTGACCAAGAAGATAAAAAATGCAGAATACCAGACTGGAAGCATGGTTCAAGCAATAGAACACTTGCCTAGCAAGCATGATGCCCTGAGTTCAAATTCCAGTACCTCAAAAAAGGGCTGGTGGAGTGGCTCAAGCAGGAAAGCACCTGCCTAACAAGCATGAGGCCCTGAGTTCAAACCCCAGTACCATTAAAAAAAAAAAAAAAGCCAATTACCCAGAACTAACCCCACCAGATCCTTTCATAAACTAACTCTTCTTCCAACCTGCTTTTGAGGAATGGTTCTTTCCAAGATGTTAAAGTTTTCCAAGGTATCAATCTAGATTAAATCAATTTGCCTGTACTTAATCTGTATTACTATGTTATCATTACAAATCATTATCATTATAAACATACCATTACTCTATATATTATATCAAAATAAAAAAGGATGCCTCTAACTATATTTTCAACAAAATTTTGGTGGATGAAAATAATAGGAAAGAAATAAGTAATTCTGTGATCCTGGTAATTGAGCTAAGGTTTTACTAAACTGTGATAAAGCTCATATAAGCCATGTGTGGTGCACTCACCTGTAACCCACTGACTTGGGCAAGAAGATTGAGAATTCAAAGCTAGCTTGAGCAATACCCTGTCTTAAAAAAAAGGAAACAAACAAAAAAACCCCAAAATACCTCACATGTCAACATAAAGTCTCACAGATTTTTTTTTCTTTTTTTTTTTTTTTGCAGTACCAAAGGTTGAACCCAGGACCTCACACATACTAGGCAAGTGCTCTACCACTTTAGCCATGCTCCAGCCCTAAGTCTCATATAGATATTAAGTTAGTAATCCTAAGGGTGATATTTGTGAACTACCTGTGGCAGTACACCTGATAGTGCAAAAGAAACCATATGAGAACACAATAACTAGAAGTAAATCACAAGCACATGAAACAGGTTTATATGATGGGGCTGAAGATGTAGCTCAGAGGCAGAGGGCTCGCCTAGCATGCACAAGGTCCCAGATTCAATCCCCAGCACTGCAAAAGGTAAACAAACAGATTGATATGATGAAAAAAATCAGTTTTCTGCTTGAGAGCTATTTACCATTTTCCTTTGAAGTTTAGAATCATGAAAGTGGATACTCAATGGATCCTGAGCACTAGGGTGGGGGCAGCTCAGTGGTAGAGTGCTTACCGAGCCCGGGCCAGGCCCTTGGTTCAATCCCCAGAACCACCAAATCAAACTCATCATTCTCATTCTGCATTCTTCCCAAGTGTAAGGAAAATAACACTAGGAGACATCATAGTGATATTAAAAGGTTGACAGTAGAAAAGGGGAAAAAAAGTACATTTTGATAGTGTTTTAATCTTTTAGTTTATGACATCATTTACTAAAAAAAAATCTGTACTATTCATGCAAGTATTATTAAATGTAGCTTTAGTCTTATTTATTTATTTTAATTTTTATCTTTATGAGATAGGGTCTCACTATGTAGCCCACGCTGGCCTAGAACTTGAGATCTTTCTGTCTCAGCCTCCTGAATGGTGGGATTATAAATATATGTGGCCATGTCTGGCAAGTTTTATTAATATACTAATAACTTACTCTTTTTTAAAATTTATTTTTAGAGATAAGGTTTCACTATGTTACTCAGTCTAGCTATGAACTTGTTGGCTCGAGTGATCTTCCTGCCACAGCTTCCTGAGTTAGCTAGGACTGCAGGCACACACCTCCACACCCACCTAACTTAATTATTATTAATATGCATTCTTACCTTGTAGTCAGAGACATCAGGAGAGTAATCAGATGTGAGTTCCAAAAGCTAAAAAAAGAAGAAAAATCCTATAGGTACGCAAGCTCTCTTAAGACTCTCAGGATCCCATGGTCCCTCCCTCCTACCCCAAGACAATACACAGTGCAAGTGTGCCCACCAACACCAGTCTGAGGCCCCACCGTAAGCCATGACAGGGTAAAGAATGTTTTTAAACACTACTTAACAAGACTTGCTAAGTGAGTTCATTTGGAAAGGAAGCTAACCTTTTTTGTTGTAATTGTTGCTGTTTGAAAATATACCTTAAATGCAATCTTTTCTCCGACTTGAGGGGCAGCTGCTAACAGGGGTAACAGACTATAGTCCTTCTTGTGTATCTCTACTGGGTTCTGAAAAACAGCATAAGTCATGTGACTTCATTACTGGTGAGAAAATGTGAACCTTTGCCAAAGAGTCAAGATACATTCCATGGGGAAAAGAGACGTGAACTCACAATAAACACTACACACCTGGATAATAGTAGATGAGTTTGTTACTATCTCCATTAAGTGCTGCTGCTTCTGATATTCAGTGCTTCTATTTAAGACACAGGAAACAGCACGCCCTCGTCCCCGACCTCTGCCCCGCATGCCCCGGCCCCTTGCTCCCTTCCAAGACAGAAGGTCCTCTCCTCGTCCCCATCCTCTTCCCAAGTTGGTGGGGACAGACACACTGGGAGGAGGACCAGGAGACTGTTTGCTGCCACTTAAGTCAGAAGGCTTCCATCCTGCAGCACTTGGAGTCTGTGACGACGACCCTGGTCCTGGACAACCCCGCCCTGTCAAGAGGCCTGCTGTCTTTAAGAAGCTTGAGGCACACTCCGGCATGCTCTTGGACCCCACGCCCTGGTCATCAGACTCTGAACTGGAGTCTGAACTAGAAGAAGAGGCTCTGGCGGCCTTGCCCTTGCTGGTGCTGAAGGTAAAGGGAGCTTTTGCAGCCACTTTGTTTGCAACTGTATTTTTTGTAGCAAGTACTTCCTTTGATAACTCAGATGAGAGTTTCTGTAAGGAGTTTCCAACCACCAATGTGACATTGCTGAGAACATCACTGGTTGACTCGTGACTAGACTCAGACTCCGAGGAGGACCTGGGACTACCTTTTGAACCCTTGCCTACTCCACTTTTCCTTCTGGCTTTAGCCAGGCTGTTTTTGGCAGAGCCTTTTGGAGGACTACAGTTCTGAGGGGTCCATTCTTTTGCTGCCTGTGCTTTAGGAGACTTGGGATTCCTGGTTTGTTTCTTATATTCACATTTCTCCTTTCTCTTTGGTGACTTTTTTTTGGTCTCTTCGTCATCATCATCCACTGTGCCACAAGTTGCTTTGTTTTTTCTCTTGCTTTTTTTCTTCACAGTCTGGTCTGTGACAGCTTTTAACTCGAGATCCGAGGCCTTCTCGTTATTACTGTTGTTACCTTGCCTCTTCCAATGCTTCTTTGAATACCCATAATCAGGTTCAGTTTCTTCATCCTCCACCAACTTAAAAGCCCGTTTCTTTGCTTTTCTAGGTGAAAAATGACAATTGCCACCATTACGGATTCCCTCAGAAATCTCAGGAATTTCACTCTCTTCTAACTTAACGCTGTCAAAAGAATAAAAGAGAAACAGTGAGCAATTCATAAGCATGCCCCAGAATGTAGATACAAACACCAAGATGACTCTGCAAACTCATTCCCACCAGTCAATGAAAAACTGTAACATCACTTAAGGACAAGGACTCGTTTTGACAAAACGGCCTATATAGCATCACTGCATAGTCACCTTTTATATGGCTAGTCTTATTTACTGAATGTCTATGTCCCAGACATTTTTCTTACACATTTTCTCTACCCTAAACACTACCACAAAGTAGGTAGCTTTCATTTTACAGGTCACAAAATTACAGCTTGGGTAACTTTCTACTGATAAATAGCAGAAAGGCAACTCGAACTTCAGTTTGTCCAACTTCAAAACTCACTATCTTTCCACTATATGTAGGTGACTTCCCCTAAAGTGACATCATGATTAGTGACAGCAGTAATTATTCATTTTGCAATATATACATATTGGTTTTTAAAATTAATTTATTTATGGTGTGACAGGGGTTTGAACTCGGGGCTTCATGCTTGCAAAGCAGGTGCTCTACTGCTTGAACCACACCTCCACTCCATTTTGCTCTGCTTATTTTGGAGATAGGGTCTCAAAAACTATTTTTCCAGGCTGACCTCAAACCACAATCCTCCCGATAATCAGTCTCCCAAATAGGCAGGATTGCAGATGTGAGCCACTGGTGCCTGGTAAAATTTTATTTCTAATACCTAAAATATGTAATCAACCCAGATTTCCATTGAACAGATACATGGATAAGGAGAATATGGAGGTATATAGAATATATAAAAATATATACATATATTATATATACACACACACAAAACGGAATATTAGACACCTATAAAAGGAATGAAATTCTTTCACTTGCTGCAACATGGATAGAACTGGAGGACATTATGTCAAGTAAGTCAGCTACAGAAGACAAATGTCATATATTCTCACTTATATGTGGAAGTTAAAAGCTGATCTCAAAGAAGTGGTTATCAGAGCCTGGGAAAGGTGTGGGGAAGTCAGGGTAAGGGGTAGAGCTGGATAGAAGGAGTAACTTCTTATGTTCTACAGACCTACCAGGTAACACTGGTTAACAATTAACTGAGTATTTCCAAATAGCTGGTAGAAAGGATTTTGAATGTTCTCAACACAAAGAAATGATACATGTCTGAACTGGTAGATATGCCAGTTACCCTGATCATTAAACATTATATACATGTACTAAAATATCACTGTACTCTACAAATATGTATGATAACTATATGTCAATTAAAAATCAAAATATTTAAGTAATAAAAAATAAAATTTTATTTTGCTTTAATTTACGAAACTACTACATGATTTATGTTTTTTGAGGTAATGACAACTATCCATAAAATTCCATGACAATTTATGATGATTAATTTTATGTTACTTGACTGGGCTATGGGGTGCCCAGATATCTACGGAGTGTCTATGAGAAGTTTCTGGATGAGATTAACATTTAAATTGCAAGACTGAGTAAAATAAGTTGCCTTCCCCAATGTGGGTCAGTCTCATCCAACCCACTGAACGCCCAAAGGGAACAAAAAGCTGAGTAAGGATCGGCTTTCTGGGTCTCCAGCTCACTGAGTGCAGATCCCAAGACTTCTCAGTCTCCAAAATCACATGAGCCTGTTCCTTACAACAAATCGTGTGTGTGTGTGTATGTGTGTGTCCCACTGGTTCTATTTCTCTGGAGCACCCTGACAATACACAATACACACTTCATCCAAAATTATTTCACTACAGAAAAGCAATTTTCCTCCATGAACTGACAACAGCTAATCCTGATGTGTGCGGTCTGATGACAGAGACTTGATAGTGTCCTCAATGCTGACAGATAGTAGGTACTCAAAAATGCCTGCTGAAAACACACATCATGATTACAATGCATTTAAATACAGATATGTACTCCATCAGATTTTTTAATGAACAGGGAAAGATGAAGATAATGACATTTGAAAATAAAGTACAAATGGTGAATAAGAGAATATATATTATATATATTTATATATATGTATTATAAACATTCTTGGTTTTTGTTTTGTTTTGTTTTTTAAATAAACTTACGGTTGGGCTAGTAAGTTTCATACTACTAGATTTTTCATACTGAAACTTTATTGCATTTGTATTTGCAGTGCTGGGGATCAAACCCAGGGCCTTGATCATGTTACTCAAGTGCTCACCACTGAGCTATCTTCCTCCCTATAAGCATTCTTTAATTTTGTTTTTTTAAAGCACAGCAATCCTGGGACTGACAAAGTGTCTCAAGCAGTAAGAGCCCTGCCTACTAGTGTGAAGCCCTGAGTTCAAACCCCAATGCTGCCAAAACAAACAAACAAAAAGCATAGTGATTCTGTACATTTACATCCTTGATGTAGTAGTTGAAAAAAAATCCTTAATAATTCTTCATTAAACACAACTATATAGAAACATACAGCTGAGCACACCTGTAATCCTAGCTACTCAGGAGGCAGAGATCAGGAGGATTGCAGTTCAAAGCCAGCCCTAGGCAAATAGTTCATGAGACCCTATCTCGAAAAAAACATCACAAAAAAGGGTTGGTGAGTGGCTCAAGGTGTACGCCCAGAGTTCAAGCCCCAGTATTGCAATCAATCTATCAATCAATCAATAGATGAGAGGAAATTTGGCCAAGAGATATAAGGAATGCATGCATACAGAGAAAAGACCACGTAGGACAGGCACAGAGAAGGCAGCCACCTACAAGCCAATGAGAGAAGTCTCAAAGAAACCAAACATGCCAACACCCTGACCATGGACTTCCAGCCTCCCAAACTATGAAAAAAAAATTGTTATTCAAGCCACATGGTCTGTGGTATTTTGTTACAGCAGCCCTGGCAAACTAACACAGGGGGCTCAAGCAAATGGGAACACTTTCTTTTCCCAGGAGTGGTGCAGACCACCTCCAGGAGCTGTCAGGAGGGGAGGAAGTCAGATTTCTGGGGCTTAAGAGAATGGGATATGAGGAAATGGTGGCGGCACACTGGAGCCTCCAAGGAAGGCCTTGTTTCTCAGGATTCCCACAACCTTGGCTTTTACTTGCCTTTCCTCATTAGAGTTGTCTCAGTACCCTAACAGTCCTTCTGCTGCTCAGATTTGTCTCTTTATCTAAAGTCAGGCTGGCTTTTGCCTCTACAGTGTGCTTTAGTCATCCAACATCTACCCATCCTTCCAAGTGCTGCTGAGATCCCCTTCTGATATTCCATGCTGATCTCTCCTTTCTGAACCATCTTCCGCACTTCTCAGTATAAGCTGTCTACCTATTCGGTCTAATTGCCTGCATCACACAGGAAGATAGTATTTGGTTAGCATAAAGCTAGTTATTTTGGTCTACTCCACCAATACTAGGTACCTCTGACAAGAGACAATAAATTTTCCTCAGTAGCACTGAAAAACATGATTTATCAGAAGATAATAACTAATGACTGGGAGCATGAAACAAAAAACTTTTCCAAATTTAGTTTTTTCCTATAATCTGCCCCATTTATCACTGAAGCCAGATGCAGGGTTTGTTGTTGTTTGCTTTTTTGTGTGTGGTGCCAGACAGTGAACCCAAGTCCTAGGGCACACTAGGCAAGCACTCTACCACTGAGTTACATTCCTAGCCACTACAGAGGTCTTTCTTGCCATAGGCAATTGCGCATTTGAGGCATTTAGGAGGACTTTGCCTGGCAACAGGTTGTCATTATTACTTGTCACAGCTTTCATGGTCGTTTTGACATAGTTAACACTTCATTGCAAAGAGTGTAATTTCCAGATGCTACATTAATTGAAGTATAACTGTAGTTAGCTAGTGGCAAGTTATTAATTGGTTAGGCCGGGGACAGTTGAGAAAGTAAACTTGAGTCCTTACAATTATAATATTTAAATAGTCCGTAAGTGAAGACCTAGTTCAGTCAATAAACAGGGAAAAGAACTCTTTGAAATTTGGACTACTTCAAATTGTTATTTGAAACAGCTAAACATTACATACAAATCATAGTATTTCTGATGTAAGAAAGACAAAGCCATAGTTCCAAGTTAAATTCCCTCATGTTCGGAAGAAATCGTGTGAATCTGACATGTTCTGAGGAAACCAATATTCAACAACAAGGAGCATGCAAGAGCAAGTAACTGGTTCACAATTCTGGAATGAATTTACTGCAGCTGAGGCTTAGTGGAGTAGCAGTGGGGATAATAAATAAGTCCAAGACATGAATTTGAACTGGGGTGGGGGGGTGGGGGGGTGGGGGGGGGCCCCACCCCCACACCTCGCCACCTTACTGAGGCTACTCAACTATGTATAGGCAATTCACACTACAACTGCTCCTGGACACTGATTTCAGTATCACTGTTTAAACATTTCCAAAAACATATTAAAAATGATTTCGTGTCCCGGTTCACGACCGAAGACGACCCAAACGTCTGCTTAGGTGAACCCCAAACGCCGGGTGAGACGGAGAATATCACCCATCAGAAGGTTCAGTGGACCGAGACAGACAGAGGCACTAGCGAGGGGGTGGGGGGGGGAGTTAAGGGGGGATGGGGAACCCAAGCCGCAAATTATGGAGAAAACACAACCCGACCCTGACAGCAGCCCGGGCAAGGCCGGTCGGTTCCTGGCACACTTGCAAGTCGCGCACAGAACACGTTGATGGAGGCTGAAAGAAGCGCCGACCCTGCTCAACTCTGAGTCTGCTCCACGTGGAGTCAGAAGCATAACCGGAAAGGACGCGGGGGAGGATGCAATCGACTCACGCAGTCAGGCCCTGCGGGGTTCCCACGAGCTCAGCATTGTCCCAGTTTTACCCCATCCGGGTTTCCAGGCGGCGACCCCCGCCCCCCCACGCCCGGCGTGCGCATGCGCGCCTCTGCCCACCCCCCCCCGTCCCCCCACCCCCCTGTTGCGCGCACCTGATGTTGTCGTTGTCGCGCACCAGGCGCGCGCTCTCGGTGGGGGGCAGGAGCCCCCCCTCCAGGTAGAGACCTAGGAGGGCCCCAGAACTGAACCCGAAGCGCTGGCGGATGAGACTGATGAGATCCGTGACGACTCGGCATCTGTTAAGGTCGACCAGAAGCCAGAAGACGGTGCAGTGCGGGGTGGCTGGCGGCGGATAATCGAATTGAAGCCGTAGCCTAACCGTCTCGGAGGCTGCCATCTTGCTCGTGCTCAACGGAAGCCCAGAGCGACCACACGACTACCAAGAGGCGTGCTCGGACGGCCCGCCCCCCGGGGCTGACATGGGCGCCACCTAGGGGTGGGAAGCGGACACTGTAGGCTTGGTCCACGGAGATTCCATTCGGTCTGTTTCGGACAGAGTCATGCCTTTGCCCCTTTCCTACCCAGCACTCTAGGGCAGTCGCTGTCAGAAACATCTTCTAAGATATTTGCTCGTATATGTAAAAGAAGTTTTAAAAACAGTAAATCTGAACATAGTTGACAGTTCATCAAGGGGTTGATAAAGATGTCATTTCTGCTCTATTGTCAATAAATCAAACCATTAATCACTCTTCTACCTGGGCATGATGGTGCATAGCTGTAATCCCAGCACTCCGGAGGCTGAGGCAGGAGAATCGCGAGTTCGAGGTCAGCCTAGGCTATGTAGCAAAACTGTATGAAAAAAAAAGTCACTCTTCTAAATTCCATTATATTGCCACCACCATCCATAGTTTACAATACAGTAAATCCTTGTATTTGCCTCTAGGTAAGTAAATTTTATGCCATTCTTTTTATTTCTTGAGTTAGAATTCCCATTTCTTAATATAATTAACTCATTTAATTTTCATGACATAGGTGTGATTTATGAACTATTATTCTCATTTGAAGGATTAAAAAACCCAAGGTTCAAATTAAATAACTTTCTAAGGTCACAGACTAGTAAATGGTGGATACCCGGCTGTCAGTAAGTACATTGAAAAAAGTTTTCCAACTGGTGGAGTGGCTCAAGCAATTAAGAGCGCCCACCTGGCAAGCGTGAGGCCCAGAGTTCAAACCCCAGTACCACCAAAAAAAAAGAGAAAGAAGAAAAAGTTTTCCTTTCCTATGATTCTAGTGCACTAGGTCTTTGGGATTAAATTACCATTTCTTTCTCTGTGTGGCGCTGGGGATGGAACCCAGGGCCTCGCTCATGCTACTCCCAGCCTTAAATTATCACTGCTGTTATTCGTACTACACAACCAATAAAAATAACATAAAATAGCATATATTTACACGCAATTGGTGCAGTTGCTAACCAGAGAGCAAAATGGATGTGGAGATAGACAGAACGTTGGGCCTTGTTTTGTTTTTTAATCCAAGTATTCATAGATGGGCATCACTGAATGAGACAAGGCCGCAAATCACTTCTGGACCTATTTTTTGTCTTTACACATCTTGTTCATATAAATAAGATAAGAATGGAAAGACTTGCCCTGAGTTCTATCCCCATTACTGCAAAAATTTAAAAAAAAAAAAAGGAAGGGCTTATGTTTTTGATAATGTCAGTTAGTCTCATATTTCTTCCAAGTTACATGCTTAAAAAAAGTCATCTGAGACTTAATTTTCCTCTTCTTTTTTTTTTTCTCTCTCTTAGAGTTGGGGATCAAACACAGGGCTCTGTCACTGAGGTATATACATATCCCTTTTTAAAAATTTTATTTTGAGATAGGCCTCAGTAAATTACCCGTGCTGGCCTTGAGTTTACAATCCACCTTCCTCAGCCTCCTTAGTAGCTGAAATTATAGATGTCCACTACCACTCCTAGCTGGTATTCCACTCTACCCAGTACTGGGGGATTAAGCTCAGGGCCTTCCCTTGCTAGGAAAGCAGTCTAGCATTTGAGCCATGCCCCCAGTCCTTTTTTATTTGTTTGTTTTCATTTCTTTTATAGATGGGGAGGATTTCACTAATTTTGCCAAGGCTGACCTCAAACCTTGATCTTCCTACCTCTGCCTCTCAAGTAGCTGGGATTACAGACATATACCACCACCCCTGGCTTGGAAATCTTTCCTTAAAAATTATTTTCAGCATGCCAGCAGCCAACAACTCAGGTTCTTGTTCCATAATGTTTAAACAAAGAATTAGGAATCACCTAACCTTCAAAAGAAATATGTATGCAGGCCCTGCATCATTCACTTTCTTAATATCTGGCAAGGCTCTCCTGAGACTTAAGTAATTATTATATTACTTATCCTTCCATTTGTTTGTTTGTTTAGAGACACAGTCTTGCTATGTCCCAGGCTGGACTTGAACACACAATCCTCCTGCCTCAGTCTCCTTAAGGCTGGGATTACAGACTACACCATCACACCCAGTTTATTCTAACATTAGAGATACCTGGTTTACAGCACTAAAATTAGATGAAACTGAGGCAAAAAGTGACAATTCTATGAAAAATAGGAATTGTGGATTTAAGATTATCCATTGGCTGTGATCAAAGACCTATATATTCATGACAGGTGGACAGAGAGATGGACAATTTGTGATCTATTATGTATAGATTTATTAACCACTAAATATATTTATAAACATGCATTTGACAGAAATTGGAAGAGCATGTTAACATCTAAGAGAAGAAGAGTTAATTCCAGCAAAATGAAGGTGTTATCTCAAGTTCAAGACTTTACTAGAAGTTGGGCATAGTGGCACACACCTGTTATCCCAGCACCCAGGAGGGTGAGGCAGCAAGATTGCAAGTTCAAACCAGCCAAGGGTACATAGCTAGATCCTGTCAGAAGAAAGGAAGGGAGGGAGAGGGGGAGGAAGGGAGGGAGGAAGCAAAAAAGGGAGGAAGGAAAAATAAAACCAAGACATTACTAGATTTTATGTTTCAGTGATTGCTCTTTGCACTACATATTCCCCTGAAGTTAGTTTAAATAACTAGTAACGATAAAGAATAAGAGAGGTAGGTGCCAGTGGGGCAGTGGGGATGGCGACAAGCAGATGCATCTCTTGGGAGAACAGCAAACTGCAGAGGCACTTCTGAGGAGGGCAGTCAACTTCAGGAAGGAGACCAACAGAAAGAGGAGGAGGTGGAACTTGAGTCCTATTCTCCCTCAAGAAGTGTTTGAATGGCTCGGGGTGTAGTTCAGTGTACAGTGCTTATCTAGCCCACTTGGGGCCTGGACTTTGCCCCAGGGCATCAAAAAAAAAAAAGTGTTGGAGCTCTGCTGAGAATATACTTCCCCAGCCTGAAGACTGTCAGTCCATGACATGGAAATTTGCCTGAGCATTGTTGCCTAAGCAGTGGATGGCTTCTAAGTGTTTGCCTGGCTGTTCTTTCCCTCCATGGTAAAATACTATGATACCTCATTCTACGGGACCTCCAGTGAAGAGAAAAGATGGAATCTAAGCTATGCTTTTCAAAAAGAGACCTGTAACACTAGCTACTTGGCAGACTGAGATTGGGAGGATTGCTGTTACAGGATAGTCTGGGCAAATAGTTTGTAAGACCCCATCTCCAAAATAACCAGAGAAAATGGACTAGAGATGTGACTCAACTAGTAGAACACCTGCTTTGCAAGTGCAAAGCCCTGAGTTCAAACCCCAGTCCCACAGTGGTGGAGGGGGGATGAATGAGAACTCAAGTGTTGACATACTTTAATAAAGTTGGGTGGCAGGCACCCAATTCTTTGTGCTTTTCTATGTTTTACAATATTCATGATTGCAAACACTTATAGAAATGACCCAAATTTATTGTTGATTCCTTAGATACCTGTGAAGGGTACCTGGAAACATTTGTCTAAATTGTAAATGCATGTGCTGTCTGACCTGGCAATTCAGCTTGTAGGTATTCATCCTACAGAGACATACCTATGAAGCCATGTGCAGATACCCCAGTACAATAATTATGGCCACATTGTTTATAATCATAGGTTACTAGAAACAAAGTAAATGCCCTTCAATAGGGCTTGAATTGAATAAATTAGTGTATATCTATGCAATGTACACTCCTCTCAAGGGAGTTCATGAGTAGAATTACTCAAGGGTGTAATGAGGAGAATTCCTCATTACTTCTGGCCTGTGGTGGAAGTTGTTGGTACAAGGGTCTCGTTCTAGCTAATGTGTGCAAATGGACTCAAGTGAACTCATTTGTTAGATCCTGGCTCCTGGTTCACTCTTATTTTGAGTTTGGAAATTTGGCAATTAAACTGCATTTGGATGCACTACATAGAGGTGAATTATTATTCCTGTTATTACACCTACAGGAATTTAAATTTGGAAAGTGAAGTTGAAAATGGAGCTCAATACTTCTAGATAGAATAGACCATCATCACAAATCTTTTTTAGGTTATTCATGACATATCCTTGGATGAACAACTCACACTGCGACTTAAAGCAACAACTAAAAAGTGTATATAATTCTGAAGGACTGGGTAATCAAGACTTCTGGAAACCTCAGAGGAGTCGCCTGGCCTCTCTGAATTCCCTGTCCTCCCAGGAGTGATCTGGAGTACAGTTCACCTCCCCTGTTTCCCTGTCCTCATTTACCTTCATCAAGCACAAAAACTTGCCTCTGCTGGGTCCTGGGGCTTTGGGGTGTGATTTCACATAGCTGTCTATTTGGGTTCTGATAGTTCCTGAAGAAAAGGAAAGCACTGAAACCAGTTTTGAGTGCATTGGGTTCTTGTCCAGGGTCAGTGGAAGAGTGACAAGCCTGAACAGGTAAGTGGCAAGTGAGAAAAAGTTTATTGAAGTAAAGAAAGACAGAGCACCACGCTAGTGGAACTCAGAAAGACTGAGCTGTGGCAACTGTGTTGTCTAACAATTTTTATATAGTTTTTGGTGCACTTTTGGGGTAGACTTTGCATGTCCCTGGAGACAGCTTTCTGATAGGTGGGTCCTTGGGTGGACTTTTATTCCTTTCTTATCCTGAGCCCAAAGTCTCATTCTCAGGGCTCTCTGAGCTATTTCTGTTCTCTGATATCTGTTTCTTGCTGACTTTTAACTGCTCCTTTGTGATCCCCAGCCCTAACTGGCCAAGATCAAGCTAGCTCTTAACAGTACCAGTATCACAGAATTAACTGGCCTTTATCTCAAGTTCAAGCTAGTGGTGTGGCTGGCTGCCTAGCCCTCTGCCTGGATACACAGCACCCTTGGTAAATCCTAACTTGGCAGCATGAAGCTGGTGTGCTCAGGACCCTGCATTCTGGTCCAGACTTATACCCCTGTTCCCTTGTAATCTGTGCTCCAACAACTTTCCCATTTCTGGAACCTCTCAGATCCTGCACAACGTAAAAGAATGGTGTTTCCCAAACTTAGAAAAAGTGCAAAATAACACCTGGACTTACTGATATCATGGAAGAGCATTTTCTAATAAACCTGCCTGGCTCATCTGGGATGCTGTCAAATCTAACCTTGCAGTCAGAGTCCACCATCAACAACAGCCTGGTCCTCAAGTCGCAGAGCTCACGGTTCAATGAGGAAAATGAAATTACAGTAAATAAGTACACTAATGAGTATTTAAAAACAATTGTGGCTAGGCACACTGTTTCATGCCTATCAGCTTCTAGGAAGGGGGGAGATTGTGAAGAGCACAGTGATTCCAGGCCAGCCGGGGCAATAAGTGTGTGTGTGTGTGTGTGTGTGTGTGTGCGCGCGCAAACAATGTATACACATGTGAGTAAATGTAAAAATGATAAAATAACTTTAAAAAGTTAACAAATTTCCATCTCAAAGAAAATTGCCTACTTTGGTAGTTTTCCCCCAAACACCTAACATATCATTAGGGATAATGAACCGATGTCCTCCTGATCTCTGCCTCCTGGAGTAACTAGGGTTACAGTGCCTGGCTGCTTTGGTTTTTATTTGTTTGTTTGGGTTTTTTGGTGGGACTGGAATTTGGACTTAGGGCTTCCCACTTGCAAAGCAGGTGCTCTACTGCTTGAGCCATGCCTCCAGTCCATTTTGCTCTGGTTATTTTGGAGATGGGGTCTCATGAACTATTTGCCTGGTCTAGTCTCAAACAAACATCCTTCTGATCTCAGCCTTCCAAGTAGCTAAGATTATAGGCATGAGCTCCCCAGTTCCCAGCTAGGGCTAATTTTTTTTTTCTTTGTTCTTTTCTTTTTCCTTTAGGGGTAAATTTTTGTGTAAATCTTTTTCTTCTGAGATAAAATTAGCATATTATGAAATGCACAAATCTTAAGTGCATATTTGCTGAGTTTTGACAAATTCATACAATTGTGTGACCCAAACTCATATCAAGATATGCAACATTGAGCTGGGCACCATTGGCTCATGCCTATAATCCAAGCTACTGGGGAGGTTGAGATTGGGAAGATCAAAATTCAAGACCAGCCCAGGGAAATAGTTCAGAGACCTCTATCTCCAAAATAACCAGAGCAAAATGGACTGGAGCTGTGACTTGAGAGGTGGAGCTTGCAGTTTGAAGGTGTGAAGCCCTGAGTTCACACCCAAGTCCCTCCCCCCCCAAAAAAGCTATACAACATTACCATCATCTTAGGAAATCCCCTCATGTGCCTTCCCAGTCAATCTCTCCAGGAAGCATAGTTTCTTCTTGGTTTTTGCACCATTTTCCTTTTTTTTCCCGCTTTCATTATCATTACGGAATAAGCCTACTCCATGACCTAAACAAAATAAAGGGTCAGCACCAGTGGCTCATGCCTGTAATCCTAGCTAGTCAGGAGGCAGAGATCAGGAGGATTGTGGTTTGAAGCCAACCCAGGCAAATAGTTTGTGAAACCCTATATTGAAAAACCCATCACAAAAAAGGGCTGGTGGAGGGGCTCAAGGTGTAAGCCCTGAGTTCAAACCCCAGTGCCACAAAAAAAAAAAAAAATTTAAAGCTATAAAATAATGTTTGTTGTCTTTTATACAATAGGACTGATGACATCCTTATGACAAGGGACTGAAACTACCCCAAAGGAACAGCAGAGCCTTGCAGGACAGACCACCCTTCAAATGAGGACAATTACCTATAACGATGGGCTGCACCCTATACCCCAAAGATGGCTGAAAATGGGCTATGTGCTTACTTTGCCTCTTCCCATGGTGTGTCCAGGGCTGTGTAAATAAATCTCCTTTCTCTGCCATTCCCTGTCTTTTTATTTAGATCATAGGGAGGGCAAGTGACTAGGCCTGACATGTGGAAGCCCAGGAGCTTGGATCTGGGGTCAAAAACTCCAGTTTCATTATCTCTACTGTTATGTATTTTCCCAGTGTTTGTGCAAAGGCCATCCTCTGAGACCAGCTTTATGGGATTTCATCCATCCAGGACCACCCCATCCCCAAGATGGAGAGAACCTGCCATGATTTCTCTCCTCCTACCCCATAGAACAGCTTGCAGGCGGAACCCCTCACTGGCCCTCAATGGCCAGCTTCTCAGGGCTCTGCCCTTTCTCTGCCAGGCAGGTAGAGGAAAGCAGGGAAGGAAGTCAGGGCCATAAGCACTTTGTTTCATTGTGTGGGCTTCACTATAAACACTTTTGAGATAAAGTCTTTAGAAGTGGCCTCTCATACAGCTTTTGCTGTATCTTGTTTTCTAGCTCTGTGAGGTGAGTTTCAGTAGCCCTTAAAAATGACCACATACACACACACTACCATCCACTTTTTCTTTATTTCCCTTCCACACATCCCAGTATCCTCTTTTAAATGTCTGTTTTGACGATAATGTGACAATAAAGAAGAATGTTGATCACAAATTACTGAGAAGAAAAATCCCAAAAATTTGATTACTGTTTTTAAAAAGATGAAGTATGAAAAAGTATTCCAAATGCTATAATTATGTACATTTTTTCATATTTCCAAAATTCTCATAATATGTGTAATTTTTACAGAAAGATGATCTTAAAAACATCTCCGAAAATGGAAGCTCACAGTTTCCGACGACCAGCTGGGTCAGGCACAATCAGATTCAGGGCAGATACAGGTTTTTAAAAGCGTTTTGTTGGAGAGGGTAGGGAGGGACGGGTGGGGTGGGAAGGACAGTAGTTATTAGTCTCTCAATCCAGTTGCACAAAGTCAGAGTCAAATAAATGCATTGAATGTCTGCTCCCCGCAGCTCCTTCGCTCAATGGCAGAGAATTACATAAGCAGATAGGCAGAACTGCCCGGGAGCCCTTGAGGAGCTCCAGGGTTGGCAGGCAGAGGGCGCTCTAGACAAAGCGAGCCTCCAGGCACGCCTGCCCCGCCCCTGGCCCCGCCCCCGGCCCGCCCAGTCCCCGCCTCCGGTGGACAGCCTGTCACGTGGTGAGGTCCCGGGTCCAGCCTGTTGCTGATGCTGCCGAGGGGTATTCATCATGGAGCTCGCGCCGCGGGGCTGTCCCGTGCCGCGATGGCTGCTGCTGCTGCCGCTGCTCCTGGGCCTCAGCACAGGTAGGTCGGAGCAAAAGGGGCACCAGCGACCGGTGCCTCCTTCTCTCTCCACAGATGAAAGTCTGTTGGGGGTGGGGGTGGGGGTGTTGTGTTTTTTAAACAATTTCTTTTCCCGGTTCTTACCGTGCGTAATTTGTATTGATTTGGAACCTCACTTTTTTTTTTTTTTTTTTAAATCAAAGTGCTTTTTCTACCCTTTTCTGTCTTTTCCTTCTTCGGTAGACTAGCAGCTGGGCAGAAACGTATGTTTTCTGCTGATCAAGGAGGTTTCCACAATCCGAAAGCCACCTCCCTTTTCTTCTGTGGTTGGCTGCTAAATGAAGTTACATGGCGTTTTTATTCTGAGCTGAGGTAGGAGGTCAAAGAGACCCCTGAAAGTCCTACTATGAGTGGAACATTTCTTCTCCCCCTGCTTGGTCAGAACGGACAAAATATCTGCCCCTGCCTGCGTGCTTTTAGGCAAAAACGTATTTGTGCTTAATGGGATGGCTTGCTAATTGATTCTCATCCTTTACTAAGAAGAAAAAAAGAAAGTCTCCTGGTCTGAATCAAGAACTGAGAATTTGGAACTGGCTACAAACTTGCTTCTTGATACTCGGCAAGTTGCATAGCAGTTCTTATTTTTCCATTCAAGAAAGGAGACGTGCCAGGAGTTACATTAGGAGAGATCTGAGCCTTATCCGTCCTTTTCCAGGGACTCACGCCTTATCAGTCATTTGCAAGGAGACTATAATCATAAATTATTGAATCTTTAGCCACTTCTGTAATATTCTAGCCCTTCTGCCTTTTCTTAATCTTCATTCTTTTAATTTACAAGGCAATATTTTAGTCTCGTTATCTACTCCCATCTCTTCCTTACTGGGACCAGTTTTTGTTTTTATTTGCTGAGGAACCTTGAAATTTGAAAAATGAGGAAGTAGAAAGCAAAAATGTCAGGTCACCAGGGAACTTTTTTTTTTTTTTTTTGTGAGGGGGAGTGTCTGGATTTGTCATGCTGGGAATTGAATTCAGGGCATTACATATGCGAGGCAAAGGGCTGGGTATGGCTCAAATGGTACATATGCGAGGCAAGCACTCCTACCAACTGAGGTCCCAGCTTTGTTGTTACTGTTTTAGAAGGGGTTTCACTATGTTGCCCGGGCTGGTCTTGAACTGTAGTTTCTTTTTTCATAGCTGAAGTTTGTTCTCTTATCCCCACAATGTATTGGGGTAAGTAAATAGCCTGACATATAAACATCATCTCTAACCTAGCATGGTAACTCCACCAGGCTTGGAATTTACCTGACATTTCACATTCTTCAGGAAAATGACACTGAGCTTCTCTTTCAGGAGCTGTCATCAACTGGCCCACAGAAGAAGGCAAGGAAGTCTGGGATTATGTGACTGTCCGTAAGGATGCCCACATGTTCTGGTGGCTCTATTATGCCACCAACCCTTGCAAGAACTTCTCAGAACTGCCTCTGGTCATGTGGCTTCAGGTAAAGTAGCTTCCTTGCCTGGTGTCAGATGGAGACCGTCTCCTCTTATCTCTTTGCTTGTTCTTCAGGACTCAGCTCCTCAGTGAAGGACTGGAGTTTCCATATCCTTTTGAGACTCTCTGAGGCAAGGGCATAGCTGAGGGGGCTAAATTAGTGTGGAGGGGCCCTATTTACTGTCTTTTGCCAGAGTCTTTTTATATTGAGTGCAGATAGTTGTAGGAATTTTTACTCAAAGCTGCTGATGCTGCATTTTACTCTGTACTGATGGGGAGGGTATTTTTTTTTTCACTTGTTTTTTCTTTTTTCTTGTGGTACTAGAGTTTGAAATCAGGACCTACACCTTGAGCCACTCCACCAGCCCTATTATTTATTTATTTTTTTGTGGTGCATTCTTTTGAGATAGGGTCTCACAAACTGTTTTGCCCAGGTGGCTTCCAACCACGATCCTCCTGATCTCTGCCTCTGATTATAGGCATAAGCCACTAGCACCCAGCTTTACTTGTTTTTGTTTTGTTTTGCCATACTGGGGATTGAACCCAGGGCCTCTAGCTTGCTAGGCCAGCCCTTTTTTTTTTTTTTTTTTTTGTGATGAGTTTTTTTTTTTCCAAGATATGATCTCGAGAACTATTTCCTCGGGCTATCTTGGAACCGTGATCCTCCTGATCTCTGCCTCCTGAGTAGCTAGGATTTACAGGTATGAGTCACTGGCTCCCAGCCAAAAACCTCATCTTTTTTTTTCTCTTTTCTTTTAAACTTCATCTTTTGAAAGAACTGCTACCAGCGTTTCCTATCTTGCCGTGAATGTCAGGCCCTATCCTTCTCCCTACATGTGTTTGCATTTTAACCTTGAGTTTGATTGTAGGATTGAAGGCCAGGAAATATGTTTAGGCTCAGGTGGAAGATCCTTCCTGCATTCTTGACATATCTGACCAGTGGTGGCCTCACCCACCTGGAAAACTAATTTCTAGGGAGGGGTTGAGGAACAGGGTCTTGCTTCAGACTCTGGAAGTTGTGGGCACAGCCCAGCTGGGCTTCTGGTGGCGCACCAGCAAATAAGACACTTTGATAATTCACCTCCATGGGATGCAAATGGGGCTTCCTCCCAAAGTGCCTCCCAACGCCCAGGCTTTGCCTCCCAGGGGGGTTACTGCAGATTCTGCTGAGCTAGAGGAAGATGAGCCATTTTCAGGAAGGGTTTTTCTCTCCTTAGTTCTTCACAGGTGCCTCCTCGGAGAGCTAGAGGTGAGGTGAGGCCCAAGTGTGCAGGTAGGAAATGCTCAGAAGAAGAACCCACATTGCCAGTCCAGGTTGGGCAGCAGAAAATGGAAGTGCAGGGAGAGCCAGGGCATGGACATGCCCAGGCCTGCTCATCACAAGACCTGGGTTTTCAGTGTCGGCTTGCCACTGTGAACCATGGCAAAACACTTACCTTCTCTGGGCCTTGGTTTTCTAGTCAGGGGCAGATTGGGGTGGTTTTGTTGATCAGTAGAACTTCTTTCACACACACACACACACACACACACACACACACACACACACACACATACCCAACCCCAGGTGAAAGTTCACATATGGGAGGCAGTGCAGATAAAAGCAGAAATACTGAGGCTGTGGTGGGGCAGGCTGCTCAGTCCTGGGTATGTGGCCTTCTCTTTGTTCCTGGCTAATCATGGGACCCTCTAGGCTTTCCAGAAAACAATTTGAAAAACACTGAATTTCAGATGTTGCAAGATATACTTTGGATTCACTGCAGAGTTGTTTTAACCGAATTAGTTACCGACATTTTAAAGTCACGACATTTCCTTCCTCCTTCCAAAAGTTAGGAGATCCAACAACTTGGGGCCTGACCTCACTATCCCCAAAACTGAATGATGATGTCCTCCTGCCCCCTGCCCTCAGAGAGGGAAGAAGCTGGGCTGATTTGCTTTGCTCATAGCCTGTGCCTGGCCCCTGGAAGCCATCCAGTTAGTGAGGGTTGGTTAAACTGCCAAACTAAGATGTTGTATGAAGCCTAGCAACCAAAGACAGGAAGCTGCTCTTCTCCATTTCTCCCTAGAGGCCCAAGGGAGAAGAAAAAATATGATTAAGGAAGAAGCAACTAATACAGATTAAAAAGAGATCTGTTTTTGCAGCCTACCAAGGACTCATGCTCTGACTTCTCTTAGTGTGTGTGTGTGTCTGTGTAGGGGTATTTGAGAACTGAGGTCATGTCGTAAGTGATGTAGCAAGTGATTTTAAGGATACTTTCAAGTCATTTAAGCATTTCAGGTCATCCAGTGATACATTTACCATATCTCGAGAGTCACTAAGTTGCTCTGGGCTGCAGTAGTACCCACGCTAAGACCTGGACAAAGGACATTGCAATCATTTTTTTGTGTTCAAATAGAACAACTGCTTCCTGTAGTTCCTTCTCCTTGGCTTCTCAAAATCAGAACAGGGGACTGGGATTTCTCCCCCAAAGACCAAGCCTCCTAGGATCCCAACTTCCCCTTTACCCCCAAAGCTCCTTTTGTTTTAATCCTGCTCCAACCTAATAAGCCCATAAGGGGGAAAAAAAAAGGACCGAGCTTTCATTTGAGGGTACATATTAGGTTTCAATTTATTGCATATTGCTTTGTAAGCAATTTTTCAATGTCGCCACATAGTTTGTCATCATTTGGGATTCTGAACAGCAACACGATCCCTCCTGGAGACCTGATTTACTGAACTGTTTCCCCATTGTGGGACATTTGAGCTGCACCCTTCCTCTTGTTGCTGCTGCTATTAATGGCACTATAATGAACATCTCCAACTGGTTTGTGAACTTTTTAACTATTGTGTTAGGAAATCATAAGAAACCAAGTGCCTGTAATTAAGGGGAGTTGGAGCCTTCTGATTTTATCATGGTAAGGTTGGTGTTGGCTCAAATATTTAAGTGCCTTGTCTAGCCATCCCTTAGCCCTGTCTCTCCCTGAGCTCTTTCCTTTCTTTAGATTTCTTTAGGCCAATTGCTCTGGCTTCTGTGTTGTGGAGCTGTTCTTCCTGTTCATCTTCTCTCCTTTCTTTTCTACCCATCCTACTGTGCACAGTGAGACCATGTCCTTTTATTCTAGGTCCTAGGCCTGTCCCTTCCTCAGCTGATAACACTCTCCTCAGTCTCCCACCTCCCCCAGAGCCATATTTGTTCAAAAGAGTTCCCTCCTTTTCCATCCTTTCTCCTCCCATTGCCATCAGGAAGTCCACCCAACTTCCTTCCATTTTGCCCCTTGCTTTCTGTCCTCCCTTCTGCTCTCTGGGCCCTTCAGAGCCCATAGAACTTCCATCCGTCACAGTTGGGTGCTAGCATTGAGCCCCAATTCAGACTCCTGCCTCTCCCCTGCCCCTGGGTGCCCTGCTTGGACTCCTGTATTTGATGAGTTATATGCAGAGAATTGGCCTAACTCCTCAGTCTGGATACCTTATCAATCTACTGGTACCTAAAGGAAAGAGTCTCCCATTTTGGGTGTCAGGGTAAGAGTCAAAGGTCTAGTCCCGTCAGAGCCCCTAATTGCTGAATGGTCCAGGACAAGCCACCTCCCACTCTGGACCTTACTGCTCTTTTCTAAAATGAAAGGAATTGGATGAGATGTGTTTGAAGGTGTCTTCCAATGTGACAGTCAATAAGTCTATGGCAGGCCAAGGCTAAAGCTCAGAGAATCAGGAAGTGAGAAAGTTCCTTTGTGGGCTTCATAGCCCACCTCTGGCCTTTCAAAGAGAAAGACTTGTACAGTTGCCATAGGAGCTTGTTGGGTGTAGAGGCCCCTGGTGCCTTTGTGTCCTTTGTGCAAGGTGACAGGCTATCACTAAATTACAAATTGTTTGTAGTGGATGTGGTCATCCTTTGTAATGACTAGGGTTCGTCTAAATTTTCTCTAGGTTTATGTTTGGTTCTCTCTTTTCCACAGGGTGGACCAGGTGGTTCCAGCACTGGATTTGGAAATTTTGAGGAGATTGGGCCCCTCGACAGTAATCTCAAACCACGAAGAACCACCTGGGTACAGTGACGACAGCCCCACCACCTGCAGCTGCCCTGCATGTGGTGGGGTCACAAAGTTAGCAGTTCAGTCTGGGCCTTTCCTGAGGACTTGGGCACTTCCTCTCCCATAGCTTTCTCTCCAGCCCAGCTTCTCCGTTTCTGTCTTCTCCAACTCAGTGATCTTTCTCTGCCTACTTTCAGAAAGCTCCCCTGTCTCTATCCGTATGCTGACCATCAGCAACCTCATACTCCAGGTCCAACTCTCTGCCCACAACTGGCAGATCCTTTCTCTCCCTCCCACCTTGTGTCTTAACTTCATCCAGTCTTCAAATCCCTTGTCCCTTTTGTGTCTCCCTGGTCCTCTGTCTCTACCTCCCCCTGCTCCCCACACATCAGTTCCTTCCCTAACCCCTCTGTGAACCCTCTCACTCCCCAGCAACCTCATCCTTCTCACTTTACAGCCCTGCCAAGCCCACCAGTGATGACCCACTCAGCTCCCGCTCCTAGGCCACCAAGCACTGACAGGCAAAACTGAGCCATGGATTGCAACTATTACCCAACTGTGACCTTTGTTTTGTGCCTCTGCTCCCCTCCCAGTAGTACTTGCTATTGAGAACATTCTCCTCATTCCTCGGGGCTCCTCCAGCCTTCCTCTCATCAGGAGCTAACTTACCCAGTCTTTCTTGGAGCATCTTCCTGTTTTCTTGGCCTGAAACCCTTCAGTATGTGTGACTTGTGGCAGCAGTAGCAGAGTGCCCCAGGGGCTTGTCCCCAGCCTCCCAGAACTAAGGACAGTAAAGTGGGGCAGAGAGCCTGGAACAGGGAGTTCCCAGGTATGGGCCTTCTCTGGGCTTTGATTTCCTCATCAGTAAAGAATTTTATAATAATTTTAAAGGAAAAATTTTTTTTGTTTAAAAAAATTATAAAAGAAAAAAAAAAATAAAGAATTTTAACTGGCTGTGTCATCACCAAAGATCTTTCCAGATACGTAATTTTATCATTTTCACCTCTTTGGTAAAGGTGGTAGGATAAAGCGTGTAGAATTGCAATGCACAAGGAAGCCAGGCCACTGTGGAATTTAGGTACATCTGGACGAAAACTCGTGTGTGATGTCCAGACTTCACGTGGCCCCTTACTGCTTAGAGTTACTGCTCAGCCTGGCTCAGCCTGGTGCTACCTTCACTGGCTTGCTTTATTACATTTAGTACACCTGTATGTGTGCACAGTGATAGCATAGAGTCTTTGGTCACGGTGTATGTCTTCCTCTTTCCTTCTTGCCTTGCCTTTTCTTTGCCTTTTATGGCTGCAGTCTATATTCCTTTCCATTTTAAAACCCTTTTAACAACATGATTATATGAGCATGCTAACATGGTGATGGAGGGGTTTCTGCTGAGTTCCTATAAAATGATAGGTAATTAGCGACCGACCAGCTGGTTACAGTGTTTGGTTCTCTGTGGCGTGCAGCTCCAGTCTGCCAGCCTCTTATTTGTGGATAACCCTGTGGGCACCGGCTTCAGTTACGTGAACCAGAGTGGCGAGTATGCAAAGGACTTGGCTACGGTGGCTTCAGACATGATGGTTCTCCTGAAGACATTCTTCGATTGCCACAAAGAATTCCAGGTAAGCAAAGACAGACATGGGAACAGCTAAGGAAAGCAGCAGCAGTAGCAACAGTACATCCAGCAGAATAAACAGGAACTTTCCCAAGAGTTCAAGGCCCTGCTGATATCAGAGAAACCCAAGATTGGGCATTTGTTTCTCTCATCTCTAAAGATGGTTTTTGGCTTGAAAGAATGACCCTGGAGTAAGCATTCTAATCAGATATAATAATCAGATATGGGGAAAAACAAAAGCAGACTTGTCTGCAGTAGAAATTAGAAATTCATTTTGTAAATTAAAAAGCAATCAGGTATTTAATTATTTATAAATTCCTTTTCTTGCTAGACAGTCCCATTCTACATCTTCTCAGAATCCTACGGAGGAAAAATGGCTGCCGGCATTGGTCTAGACCTTTATAAGGTAACAGGGAAGATGGCTTTGTTATGGTTTGGACAGAAAACCTATTATGTTACTTTTGTATACTGGCTTGATATTGAATACACTTTGAATAGGGCCTTGTATGAAGAGAATATGTCTGTAATAATATCCATGAAAAGTCCAAGCAAGAATAGCAAAGATTGATTGGGAAGTGGAGAGAATATTCAGTAAATGGTATAGAGACAATTGACTCTCACTTTGGAAAAGAGTAAAGTTGGATTCTTACTTTGCAAAAAACTATACAGATATATAGATATAAAACTCCATATAGATTAAAAATCTAAACATAAAAATAAAACATGAAACTATAAGGGAGTGTGATAATGTAGAAATCAGGTATGCTGGTGTGCACCTGTAATCCCTGCACTTGGGAGGCAGAAGCAGGAGGAGCGTGAGTTCCAGATCATCTTGGGCTATATAACAAGACCCTGTCTCAAAAAAACAAAAAGAGAAAAAAAGAAAGCAAGAAATCTTCAACTTCCCATAAGATAGAGATTATCACTTTTAACACCTGTAGTAGGATACAGCTTTCTAAATATTTTTCTGCATATATGAATAAATTTTTAACCAGAATGAGATCATATCATACACACTGTCAGTCAGTAGTCTTCACCTGTCTGTTTCAGCAATTTTTCTTTTTTTTTTTTTTTTTTTGGCAGCACTGGGGTTTGAACTCAAGGTCTCGTGCTTGCTAAGCAGGCACTCTACCACTTCAGCCACTCAAGATAGGGTCTCGCAAACTATTTGCCCAGGCTGGCCTCAAACCATGATCCTCCTGATCTCTGCCTCCTCAGTAGCTAGGATTATGGGCATGAGGTACCAGTGCTCTGCTGTTTCAGCAAATTTTCATCTTAAACATTCAGATTTCTTTAATTGTCCCACTGTGCCCCTTATAGCCAGCTTGTCCAAGCTGATACTCTATCCAGATCCATGACTTACGTCCGACTATGACGTCTCTAAAGTCTCTTTTCATCTAGCACAGTCCTGGGGGTTTTGCAGTACTGGGGGTTTGAACTCAGGGCTTTGTGCTTGCAAGCAAGTGCTATACTCCTTGAGCCATGCCTCCAGCACTATATTTCACTTTTCAAAAAATTTAACAACAGTGCTGGGTACAGTGGCACATGCTGTCATCCCAGTGCTCAGGAGGTTGAAGCAATTGGATCACAAGTTCAAGGCCAGTCTGGCCTACATAGTGAGCCCTTATATCTAAATAAATAAATAAATAAATTTAACAACCTATTTTGGAGATGTTTTCATATTAATCCATCAAGAGCCTTCTCATTCTTTTTTTTAAAAAAAATTTATCATGTGTAATGAAGATAACTATAACTCATGTAGCCCATTTTATTAATAAATATTTAACATTTTCCAAAGTTCTTTTTTTGTTTTGAGACAGGGTCTTGCTAAGTAGCTCAAGCTGGTCTAGAACCATGTAGCCCAGGCTGGCCTGGAACTTGTAATCCTACTGCCACAGCTGTAGTCCCAAGTGCTGGGATTACAGGCCTATGCCACAATGTCTGGCCCTCTTCTTCTTCTTCTTCTTTCTTCTTTCTCCTCCTCCTCCTCCCCTTCTCACTTCCCCATTCTTCTCTTCCTCCTTCTCCTCTTCCTCCTCCTCCTCCTCCTCATCTTCTTTCTTCTTTTCCCTTGGAGAAAGGTCTCTCTCTGTAGTCCAGGCTGGCCTTAAACTCTCAATCCTCTTGCCTCAGCCTCCTCAATGCTGGGATTACAGGTGTGTACTGACATTTTCAGCCTTAGATTTTTTCCAGTTTTCTGGCACTAGACAGGTGTGTACACTAGTACACACATAGAAGGAGCAAAGAGGGATGAGCGTCTCATCCTGAGGCATCTGAGGACATCCCAAGGAGGTCCCCAGCCCTCAGTGATTGCTGCTTGGCAGAGGCAAATGTGTGCAAGGAGCCCCTGAACACCATGGGAGACTTCAGGGGAAGGGATGGCCATGTCTTCCCAAAGATGGCTGGGGACAGACCCCCACTCACACCCTGCCAACTCTGAAGGCCCAGAGGAGCTGAGCAGTTCCTCCTCATTTCTCAATGGCAACAGGAAGGAGCTATCCTTGCTCTCTTGTGGGCATCTGTGGTCTACTTGTGCCCAGGGACCCTTGGAAGGGTGGGCAGAAGGACTGTGTTCAGAGAGGCACAGTAGAAAGCCTACCTCTGCTGAGAAGGATGGAGGTGCCTGGCATTCCTCAGTGAGACTGTTTCTTGGCTCCTCTTTTAGGCTGTTCAGCAAGGGACCATCAAGTGCAACTTCTCTGGTGTCGCTTTGGGTGACTCCTGGATCTCCCCTGTTGGTGAGTATGTAGTTTCTAGCTGTTTCTTTCCTCCCACTATCTCCATCCCTTCCTAGGGCTTTGGATTGTGTTGTCTAAATCAAAGAACAGAGCAGCAGAATTTTCTGGGCCCTTGGAGAGGTCAGCACAGAAAATGTTCACCCCAAGAAACATCCAAGAAATGTGGGGTTGAAAACTCATTCACAGAGCACCCCTGTGGAGCTAAGTCTCTGTATCTCACAACAAAGGTGTCACATTTTACACCTGGAGATGTTCTGAAAACTCAGGTGATGACGTCCGCCCTCTCACATAGCAGGAGTGGCCTAGTAAGGAGTCATACCCAGGTTTTTGTGACTCAGCACAAGGGCAGGTCTGTATTGTCATCTTGTTCCCCTTCAACGCCCTGATGCTACAAGAGCATTTGGAGTGAAATTTCCATCTGTGACTTGTGGTGATGGCAAGACAAGGTTATCATCAGCCTTTAACTCAGAGCCTTCTTGGGGAGCAAGGATAGGAGTGGTTTACGTTACAGACACCCAGCTGTGACTTCAGACACCAGAAGTAGTCATTATCACTGGTGTTCAGCCTCAGCACCATGGACACTTGCGGCCATGCAGTTCTTTCTTGTGGGGAGCTGTCCTATGCATTGTAGGACATTTATCAGCAGTCTCCCTGGCTTCTGCTTCTGAGATTCAGTAGCACCACTCCAGTATGACAACCAAAGATGTTGTCAAATGTCTCTTGTGGAACAAAATTGCTCCTGGTTTAGATCTGTGTTATCACTAGCCACATGAAGTTATATAAGTTAAACTTAAGATTTAGTAGAGTGGCTCAAGTGGTAGAGTGCCTGCCTAGCAAGTGTGAGGCTCTGAGTTCAAACTTCAGTAGTGCCAAAAAAATAAAAAAAGATTGCAGTTTCTCAAAGACACCATTCACATTCCAAGTGCTCACTGGACACGTGGATATTGATCATCACTTCAAACCACACAAACACAGAGCATTTCTACAATTTCAGAAAGTTCTAATGGCCAGTGCAGGTCTACATCAGAAGTCAGCAAACTGCAGCCCTGCTGCCTGCATGAATAAGTAAGTTCTTTATTGGAACACAGCCATGCTGTGGATTTCCGTATTGTCCGTGGCTATTTGGAGGCTGCCAGAACAGAGCTGAGTAGTTGCAACAGAGTTGGGCTATCCTGCAAAGCCCAATTATTTACTGTCTGTACCTTTCCAGAAGAAATTTGCTGATCACTGGTGTAGATCAAGCAGGAAATGGGATGTACTGGAGAAATGGAAACAAGTCTGCATTTCAGGAAGCTAAGGCTTGAACTTGAAGGTTAGTCTGGAGAGGTGAATGACGACTGAAGAATATCAGTCCAGTGAAATGCTATACACCTGGCACTGTGGTCACATACATTTTGAAAATGCTAAATACTGACTCCACCTCTTCAGGGTCCACAGACTGAAGACCTGCAGTAAAGAAATGTGTTGTATTTTGCATAACCCCAAAGGTATTTAATCAAAGAACCTCATTTTTTTCCTGCATATTTCCTGTATATGAAAATCCTGCAGCATTGAGGTTTTTTGAGACATACTTGTAGACACTTGGCCTTAGGGAGCCATCTAAGGTCTCTGAGCACAGGAGTGACATTCTCAAATGTGCTTGATGCATTATTAAAGTCCTTGATGTTTTCTGGCACAGCTCTCAGTGGCATTTGACTTACCTAGGGATGTGGTAGCTATGAACTTGCCTAGGCTGCTCACTGTTCTCTTTTTTTATTTTATTTTATTCTTTTGGGATACTGGGGCTTGAACTCAGGGCCTTCACCTTGAACCACAGATAGGGTCTCGTGAAGTATTTGCATGGGCTGGCTTCGAACCGCCACCCTCCTGATCCCTGCCTCCTGAGTACCTAGGATTACAGGCGGGAGCCACCGGCACCTGACTGCTCACTGTTCTCATTGAGGGTAGGCCTATCAATGTTTCCTCCAGCAGTTTGCTGCCCCAAGGCCCTTAGTAACTTCTGTGTGTTTGCAGACTAGAAATGACTAATGGGCAGGTTAGCCCCAGACACTCGAGTTAATTAGCACCTGGGCAAAAGCCAGTGTTTCCATGCTTGGAGGAGCAAACAAGATGCAAGTGGCAGTGTGAGGGTGGGGAAATAGTTTAAGCTGTCACAAAGCCTAGAAGTCTGCAGGTGAGAGGCTCCACCCACACCCACCACCTGCCTATGGCGCTGATCACTGACCTGGACCAACTTACAGGGCAGTGTTGGGCCAGATCAGTGTGCCATTGGCCCTTAGAATTGGCAGAAAGGTCTCCCACTCTCACCCCACTTTCCACTCACTGAAATAATCTCCCACCTCCTGCATGGGCAGCAGGATGCCCTGGAGCCATCAGACCTGAAGCCACCAGGTTTCTTGCTGCTGTCTTTCTGCTTTACAGGGAAGTCAGTCAGGTCGTTCTTTAGAAAGAGACAAGACACATTTAATTTGTAACTATGTGGTTTGCTTTAGATTCGGTGCTCTCCTGGGGACCCTATCTGTACAGCATGGTAAGTAAATGGGTCTTTGTCTCTGTACTGTCTCTGCAGTACAGCTCTGCTGACCTCTTCTGGCTCTGACTTTCTAATATTCCCAGGAAGGGGAAACTAAATGAGTTTGCATAGATGGTTGATACTGCTTCTTAGGGACTATTAAACTGGATTAAGTTGGAGACCCTAAGGAATAGCTAGTTTGGGGGACAAATTTAAAGAAAATCAACACACTTATTCCATTTTTCCAGGCATAAGAAATATAATTTTTAAATTCCTTAATTTTTTTTTTTTTTTTTTGGCAATGCTGGGAATCAAACCCAGGGCCTTTTGCATGCCAGGCAAGTGCTCTACTACTAAGTTATATGCCCAGCGTTTGTTTGTTTGAGCCAGGGTCTCACTGTATGTCTCAAACTGCCCTCAAACTCGCAATCCTCCTGCCTCTGCCTCCCAAGTGCTGGGATTATAGTTGTGCCCAAACACACCCAATCCAAACTTTCTATTATAAGAATTTCCAAATACAAGGTTAGTGGAGTGTCTCAAGTGGTAGAGTACCTGCCCAGCAAGAGCAAGGCCCTGAGTTCAAATCCCCAAAACTGAAAAAAGAATTCCAAATATGGAAAGGGGGGAGGCAAATATAATCCAAGTACTTCATGTGCATGTATGAAAGTAGAAAAATGGAACCATTAAAATTGTTTTAAAAAGAGGGGAGAGTAAGAAAGAGCAGTAGAGGGGACAAATTTGATTAAAGTACATTATGTGCACTTTTTTCATTGAAAAATCGTAATGAAACCCTTTGCACAAGGTTTGTATTAACACACTAATTTTTAAAAATTGGGAAGCAAAAAAAAAAAGAATATACAAATGTGCCCTGTAGTTGAAAGATCACAGTGAACACCTACATACCTGCTATCTCAATTCAGTTAACACTCTTCTGTATTTCCTCCATCAGTAAATACGTAGCTAGGGCTAGGGATACAGCTCAGCATAGAGCACTTGCTTAGAATGTGCAAGGCTCTGGGTTCCATCCCCAGCCCTACCCCGTGTTGCCACTTGCAACAATACCGTTTCCTGTGTGAGTTCCCCTTGCTCCTTCTCTCCTGCCATCCCTGGCTATGGCAATACCTGATTTATGTGCCCTAGCAAAGTGGACCTTTTTGTTTTCCATTTGTGTTCCAGTCTCTTCTCGATGACAAAGGCTTGGCAGAGGTGTCTATTGTTGCAGAGAAAGTCCTGGATGCTGTTAATAAGGGACTCTACAAAGAAGCCACTCAGCTGTGGGAGGAAGCAGAAATGGTCATTGAAAAGGTAAGCAGAGGGGTCAGACTGAAGTAGCTTATGCCTGTAATCCCAGCTACTTGGGAGGCAAAATCAGGAGGATCATGGTTTCAGGCTAACAAGGGCAAAAAAATTTTGAGACCCCATCTCAAACAATAAAAAGCTGGGCATGCCAGGCTCTGGTGGCTGATGCCTGTAATTCTAACTACTCAGGAGGAAAAGATCAGGAGGATTGCTGCTCAAAGCCAGCCTGGGCAAATAGTTTGAGAATAAAACCCATCACAAAAGGCTGGTGGAGTGGCTTAAGGTGTAGGCTGAGTTCAAACCCCAGTACTGCAAAAATAAATAAATAAATAAAATAAAAAGCTGGGCACAGTGGCACACATCTGTCATCCCATATTCACAGGAAGTGTGAATAAGAAGATCGTGATTGCTGGCTTAAGTGGTAGAACGCTTACCTAGCATATGTGAGGCTCTGAGTTCAAACCCCAGGACTGCAAAAAGAAAAAAATTTTAAAAAGGATAAATAAATACCATACAATATGAAAGAAAAAAAAAAAAAAGATGAAGAAGAAGATCGTAGTCCAGACTGGCCTGACCATAAAAGCAAGACCTTATTCAAAAAATTACTAAAGCAAAACGGACTGGAGATGTGGCTCAAGTAGTAGAGCACTCAAGGTCCTGAGTTCAAACTCCAGTACTTCAAAAGAAAGAGAGAGCGAGAAAAGGGAGACATGGCATTATCAGGACTAGAATCTAGCCAGGGTCACCACACACATCTGGAAATGACTGCATGCTAAGTGGGAAATCTTAAGAGTTCTGAGCCATGACAGAGAGGCCCTTATAGGGTCAGAAAACCACCCAGGCCTGCAAGACTTGCTAGACCTTGACTGAGTGTATGGATTCTATAAGAAAGACTATGTCTTATAGAGGTGGGTGTGTGGTTCTGAACCAATACTGGTTATTTGGGTCCTTGCCCAGCAGCATTTTGACTCCAGTTCTGACTCCCTGGGGCAGAAAGGAAGAAGGCCCTGGTGCAGGACTCAGTGTATAGGACCCCCACAGCTCCGTGCTCCCCACGCAATGACCGACACACAGGGCCAACTTAGAACCATTCTCAGACAGCCTTGTTCCTTCCTGTTGTGCAACTTTGGTGATGGAAAAAGAAAGCAAACAGTGAAGGGTACTTCTGTATTTTAGAATGCAGATGGGGTAAATTTCTACAACATCTTAACAAAAAGCACCCCCTCATCTGCAATGGAATCGGGCCTGGAATTCCTTCAGAGCCACTTAGGTAAGTGAACCTTGACATTGCTAGCTCTTAGCCTCTATGCAAGAAGAAACCCATGTTTTTAAAAGCTTTATTAACATATCATTTACATACCAGAAAATTCACCCATTTTAACTGTATAATTCAGAGGTTTTAAGCATATTCACAGAGTTGTGCAATCATCCCCAAATTCAGTTTTAGAACATTTCCATCACCCCACAAAGATCCCACACATCTGTTTGCAGTCACTTCTCACTCCCTCTCCCAGCCCAGGAAACCACTAATCTGCTTCTGTCTCTAGTTTTGCCTTTTCTGTACGTTCCATATAAATAGGAGTCATATGCTAGTCTTTTGCATCTGTCTTCTGCTGCTTAACATAATGTTTCTGAAGATGGGAGCCTCCTCCTCTTCCTTCTTCCTTCTTCGTTCTTCCTTCTTTCTTCTCCTCCTTCTTCTTGCTAGGGATTAAAACCAGAGCCTTGCCCATGCTAAACATATGCTCTGTCTCTGAGCTACACCCCAGCCCCAAGAAAACCAACTTCCATTTATAATTAGTTACAGTGCCACTTCTCAGAAGGGCTGCCTTTAGTGGCCTTTCAGCTGACCCAGCTTGGCTGTGGATGCAGAATGTTTGAAATCCTCCCTCCGTAAAGAGCATGCCAAGGCTGCTGGATGCCCCTGGATTCCTCTTCTCAGCTGGCTTTCTTTATCCACTCTGGATAATCCTAATGGCTCCAAAGTTGTTGGATGCAGCAACTGACATGGCTGGTTCCATCCCTCTTTCCTCTTGCTTCTGATTCTCTTCCTCCCCCTGGGATGGATTACGGTGATGCTTTTCCTTTTCCAGCCGAGAGTCTCCCTCTTCCTGTATGGCATTCCCAGCAGCTTGGGAAAGATGTCCCCGTGGTCCTGTTACCAGTCCTTTTCACTCACCATGTGCCAGTTTGGTTTTAGTTCGACTTTGTCAACGCCACGTGAGACACCTACAAGGAGACGCCTTAAGTCAGCTCATGAATGGCCCCATCAAAAAGAAGCTCAAAATCATTCCTGAGGATCTCTCCTGGGGAGGTACCAATGTGACCTAATTGTCATTTGTAGAATTGAGGGTAAAGGAGAGGTGCAAGTTCAGAGGCCTTAATTTGCAGCATTGGGTTTTGTTGCAGGTAAAACAATATTCCTATTCACAGTTTATAGATGATAAGTCACTGATGTGTCAAAAATTGATTCAAAGTGAGGGATGCCACCAAAAAAACAAATAAAGCTGGGTGCCAGTGGTTCATGCCTTTAATCCTAGCTATTCAAGAGGCAGCGATCAGGAAGATCACAGTTCAAAGCCAGCCCTGGCAAGTGGTTGGTGAGACCCTATCACAAAAAAAACCCATCACTAAAAAGGGCTCATGGAGTGGTTCAAGTGGTAGAGCAACTGCCTAGCAAGTGCAAGGCCCTAAGTTCAAACCCCAGTACCACAAAAAAAAAAAAGAAAAAAGAAAAAATCAAAGTGAGGGTTGTTAGGAAAGTGGGTGGGGAGAGAAATGGCACAGGATTGGTTTAGGAGTCAGTAACTGTTGAAGGCTGGTATTTGTCCATAGGCGTCATTATACTCTTTACCTTTGTGTCAATTTGAAATTTTCCATAATAAAAAAAATTAAGATAATAGCTGAATGAGGTAGTACACACCTGTACTCAACCACCCAAATATAGTATTTGGGTGGTTGAGACAGGAGGATCATGAGTTTGAGGCCAGTCTGGGCAACCTAGCCATACTAACTCTAAATAAATAAATACATTTTTAAAAATTAAAATTAAAAAGCCATGTCCAAAACACAGCTGGTCGCTGGTGAGATTTCCAAGCAAAGGACTCTGAAGGATGTCAGACACACGCTGTACTTGGACAGGTTTCGGCCAGCATCTCTCTTGTGCAGTACTAGAGTTTGACTTCGGGGCCTTGAGCTTGCTAGGCAGGAGCTCTAGCACGTGAGCCATGCCCCAGCCCTTTTTGTTGCAGTTATTTTTTAGGTTAGGTCTCATGTTTTTGCCCAAAGCAGCCTCAGACCTCTATCCTCCTTCCTAGGCCTCCTGTGTAAGTGAGATTACAGGCATGCACCAAAATGCTCTCTTTTGCTGGCCTCCTGATGCTGCGTGTGGTTTGCTACATGCTCCATTCAGTTCTAACGGTCATAGCATGGAAGTTGCAGAGTCTTTAGAGACCAGGGCCAGTTAGAAGTCTTGGATAAGTCCCATAGGGAAGCCTTGAGCAAGCAGGCCCGTTGGGTTTCTGGAGAGAAAACACTCCAAGGAAGCCGAGATGGAGTTTTGTTTGTATCTCACATGACCCAAGACTGACTATGAGGTCAGGAGGCCCCTTTTTTGTATCACCCCTTGGCAATTGCCAAAAAGCTAGGATTTGACTTTGATCCTGGTTTCCTCAGGCATCAGAGGTCATCCTCTTCCAACCTGAAGGTGCGAGGGGACTCACCCTAGACTTGGCATCCTCATCTCCCTGGGTTGAATGAAAAGATAGAATGTGGTGTCAGAAGCTGAAAGTAATGGGTACAGTGGTGGGGAGCTATTCTGGTGCTGAGAGATGTGAGTGTGGGGCAAGCCCTTGGGAGCACAACTGTTCAACTCACCTCTCTCAGTTTATCTAGCCTCAGTTTCTCCAATGTTAGGGACCCTGTATGCCTATAATGACTGAATGGGTAAGGTGAATATATTTTTACAGATGATTGCTGATAGAGAAAACTTTCTCGGCAGGGCACCGTTGGCTCATGCCTGTAATCCTAGCTACTCAGGAGGCAGATATCAGAAGGATCACGGTCCAAAACCAGCCCTGGGCAAATAGTTCAAGAGACCCTATCGCAAAAAAAAAACCCCACCACATAAAAAAGAGCAGGCAGAGTGGCTCAAATGGTAAGAGTGCCTACCTAGCAAGCATGAAGCCCTGAGTTCAAACCCCAGTGCCACCAGAGGAATAAAATGAAAACTTTCTTTGGCTTTGGCTCCACATCTGTCTCTATGCGGTCAAGAAAGGACAAACTGTCCTTGGTCAATACACCCAGGGTCTTGAGATGCAGTTCATAGTGAAACTTATATATTTGGAGTCAGCCAGGCCTGCGTTCATGTCTTAGTTTTCCGCTGACAGGCTGTTTCACGCTGGCCACATTTCTTAACCTCTCTGAGCCTCATTTTCTTTAACTGTTATACAAAGTTTGGCTTTTTATCTCCTTATTTGATGGAGCACCAATGAGCTATTGCTTGAAAATGCTTACCTAGCCCAGTGGCTGACAAAGAAATGGTTGGTGCCACTGTTACTGTTGGCATTGAATATGATGATGATGTAGATAGTCGGGAATTCAGCAGAAGCTGGGTGCTGGTGGCTCTTGCCTATAATCCTAGCTACTTGGGAGGCTGAGATCAGGAAGATAGTAGTTCCAGGTCAGCCCAGCCAGGAAAAAGAAAAGTTTGCCAAAGGCCATCTCAGTGGAAAAAAGTTGGGCTTGATGGTGTATGCCTATCTAGCAATGGCAGGAAGACTAAAATAGGAGGATTGTGGACCGTGCTGCTCTGGGCAAAAAGCATGACCCTATCTCCAAAATAACTAGAGCAAAAAAAGCTCACACAGTAGAGCTACTGCCTACCAAATGCAAAAGTCTGAGTTCAACCACAGTGCTGCCCTCTGCTCCCCCTGCCAAAAAAAAAAAAAAGAAAAAAAAAATCCAACAGGATTCGCTCTTGTTTTGCCTGGGACTTGTTACCCATTTGGCTTTCCTGAGGGCCAGCTCTGAATTGGTTTGGGTCTGGTTTGGTTTATTTTAAGAAAGCCTCCTTATTTGGAACTTGGAATGTGGCCTTGGTATTGCTCAGCACAAAAGGAAAACTAACATTTGGCACAACGCACAGTTTATTCCTGGAGTGGACCAGCTAAAAAGTGTTTCTTGGGCCTCTGCCTCTTTGTTTCCATGGATTTTAGACTTCTCTGGGTTTCAATTCATTACAGATGACATCTTCTGTCATCACAGGTTCCCAAGAGAATGACCATATGTGCTGTGTACACTTCCCTTCCACCTAGCCATTTTCGGGCCCCTGTCCGTGATGTACCTGTCAGTCAGCCTTTGCCAGATGCTGAATGAGGTGACTTTAAGGTGCCAGAGCCAAGGATGCTTGGGCTGAAAGGTACCTCTTGTTCTGGAAGATTCTAAGCTGCTACTTCTTTCTCGTTCCCTTTGTGCAGCCCAGTCTGCTAAAGTCTTCCTGAACATGGAGGAGGACTTCATGAAGCCCGTCATCAACATTGTGGATGAGTTGCTGGAAGTTGGGGTCAACGTGACTGTGTATAATGGACAGCTTGATCTCATTGTGGACACCATGGGTAGGAACTGAGTCTGAGAGACTTTTTTTGCGGGGAGTCAATTCATGGGTTGAGCTAGAAGGGAGCTGACCCTAGATACATCAGTCTTGGTGACATTAATGCCGTTTCATGCCACATCCATCCATCCCTGCCCTTGACTCCTCAAAGAAGAGGAAGCTGTACCTAACTGACCCATCAGAGAAGTCTGGGCACTTCCAGGTTTTGAGGCTCTTTGGTATGACTAAAAAAAAAGAATAATGCCTGTCCCTAGTACAAAACTTAAAAGGAAGCCCTTTTTCTGGCTATTGGGCAAAGGTACTACTTCATTAAGGGAAAACCTTATTTTTGTGCCATTGTAGGAGATGTTAAGCATGGCAGAGTGAATTTAAACTAACTCCTAACAGCTCTCTTGCTCTGAGGCCCCAGGAAAATGTTCCTTCTGGGACCCAAAGTACCACTCTGTTGCCTCGTGAGCTGTGCTCACTTCTGATTTCAGCAGAGTCTCGTGGAAACCCAGAGACTGGTTCTTAGAACCCTCAGGCACAGTGTGAGGCAGGTGATCTCAAGGTGTCATGTGCCTTTAAATGCCCCTCATCCTGGGCACTTCCCAGTCCTCCTGATAGCACTGTCAGCCTCCAGAGGTCCCCGGTCCCCTCCTAAGGAACAGAGAGCCACCAGAGAGTTAGAGGCCACATATAGCTATTAGGTTTCTCAGCCCAGGTATTGCTGGGAACCTGTGAGAAATGTAAACACTCAGGCCCCACCTAGGACTCCTGAACCAGAATTTACATTTTAACAAGATCCCAGTTACAGGACCTAGATTTTCTTGTTTGTTTTCTCTACTCTGCCTAGCTCTTAATGCTGGGCCCTTCTCTTCATTCCTCTCACCAGGTCAGGAGGCCTGGTTGCGGAAGCTGAAGTGGCCAGAGTTGCCCAAATTCAACCAACTAAAGTGGAAAGCCCTATACAGTGACCCTAAGTCCTTGGAAACCTCTGCTTTTGTTAAGTCCTACAAGAACCTGGCTTTCTACTGGATTCTAAGAGCTGGTCACATGGTAAGTCAGCTTTTGTTGCAGACTTAAACTGGTGCTCAGTAGGAGTCCTAAGCAGTCCGTTATGCATGTGTCCACTGCCTGGATTGGCCTTGGAAGTGGTATTCCAAGCATAGGAGTGTTTTGAGTTCTTTTTTTTTTTGTTTTTTTGGTGGCACTGGGGTTTGAACTCAGGGCCTCACACTTGCTGGGCAGGCACTTGAGCCACTCCACCAGCCATGTTTTGAGTTCTTCAGTGAAATTCTACTATAGGTTGAGCATCCCTGATCCAAAAACCTAAAATTCACAGTGTGTAAAATTCAAACTGATCCCCAGTATCTCACACCTGTAATCCTGACTACTTAAAAGGCAGAAATCAGGAGGATTGTGGTTTGAAGCCAAAAGGCAAATAGTTCCAAAGATCCTATCTCGAAAATACCTATCACAAAAAAGGGCTGGTAGAGTGGCTCAAGCTGTTAGTGCCTGCCTAGCAAGCATGAGGCCCTGAGTTCAAACCCCAGTGCCACCAAAAAATAAAATAAAGTTGTAAAATTCAAAACTTTTTGAGTGCCAATGTGACATCACAAGTGGAAAAATCCACACCTGATCTCATGTGATTTGATACAGTCAAACCAGAAGTGCATCAAATACAGTGCATAAAATTACCTGGAGCTTGTGTGTATAGGTGATGGTACCTTTGGGTCTCATCCATAATGAGAGATCATTATATATATGCAAGTATCTCAAAATCTGAAAAAATCCAAAACACTTCTGGTCCTCTGCATTTCAAATAGGAGCTACTCAACCTATATTAGTGCTTCATTCCTTTGAGAATGAATATAAACTCAATTTAAAGCATAAAGTCCCCCAAGAGAGTTACCTGGGTTCTCTGTCCTTTATTCTTTAGTTTAAATGAGTTAATAAGACACTTTCCTCTTAACAATGTCTCATAGGGGAAAAAGACAGAATTGCCTTTTGGTGACCATTTTCAGAGCATTTTAGTTGCCTATGGAATAATCAAGTGGGGAGTCCATCAGGCACTTGAGTATGTAAATGGGTTAGGGATAATCTGAGGTCAAGATAGACCTTTGTCCTCACAGATAGAGGTTTAGGAATCAGATATAGAAAAGGATAGGCCAGGATCAAAGAGGCAGGAGGTGAAAGTGGAGTCCACAAATGAGACTGAGAAAGAAGCTATAAAAGAAATAGGGAGACGGGCTCATGGCATCCCCAGAGCAGGTGGGAGCAGTCATGTCACATGCTGTTACAGACTCCCATAAAGGATTAAAATGCAGCAGCCTGGTTCTACTAATGCCTCCAAACAATCATGGCTGCTGTTAGTGGAGTGGCCAGCTCAGAAGACTGGGGTGGCAAGATTGCAAAACATGAATGGGCAGTAAGTAGGAGGAGATGACATCTTCATTTAAATGAAGGAAAGTAGCCCACACTTTGAAGATGAAACACAGTCCCCAGGGTTAAGGAGGCATTATTTATGGCTTTGTCTATCTGGGTGCGTCTGCTGTTGACTAGGGAGAAGTTAGTAGAATGTTCTAAAGCAAAACACTATTACCATGAACTTACTTCACGCTCCAGCACCTGAGTTCAGACCCATTTCCTCTTGGTGTGTCACAGATAGAGCAGCAGGCCAGTTGGGGGCAGGCTTAAAATAGTCCTTGGAGACTGTCGTTAAGTTGTCCCCTACCACTTCCCCTTTAGTGGATTAAATGTCATTTTAGAATGCCCCACTGTGCCTTGCTCCCAAGGACTCTTGCTCAGTAGGAGATTCTAAGGACTGTGGTGTGTCAGAAAGACCTGGGAGACCATCTACTCTACCTTTCTCTTTGTAGAGGAGAAACTTAGACCTCTGACCCTCCCTTTTCTGATGGTATTTAAGGAGATATTTTAGAAGATTTATTTTTTAAAAATCTGAGGGAAAGCAAGAGACAATGCAAAAGTCTGGATGCCATCCAAATCAAGGACCGTGCTAAGTTGCAGAAAGTCAACAGGAAAAAAAAAAAAAAAAAAAGGACCGTGCTTGTTTCTGTCTGTGGCTCTCCTGTTAGCCTCCCTCCCAGAGAATCCCTCGCCACACAGAGAATCCTTTAAAATGTTGGGCATCTTCCTGCCTCCTTGAACAGGCTGGGTCCCAGTACCATAAGCCTGGGGATGTAGCCTAGTCCAGGCTGGGGGAGCAAGAGCTCTCAGGATGGAGCCCTGGGCTTCTTCCAGGAATAGCATGAGGAGCCCTAACCTGGATGCTGCTTGATTCTAGGTTCCTTCTGACCAAGGGGACATGGCTCTAAAGATGATGAGGCTGGTGACTCAGCAGGAGTAGGATGTCCTGGGCTGAGATGAGCTCGCTCGGCCTGGGGACACAGGAGCGGAGTGAAGGATACTGGAGCTATAGGGAATACTGTTCCTCCAGAGTCTAAAGAGGGCTGGGGTGGTGAAGGCTCCTACCGTCTTCCACAGACGACAAGATTATGGCCTTGTGGCAACCTGCTTCTTAAAAAAAACCTAGGTATTTTTAAAAGATGAATTTATTTCAATCAAAATGAAGGATTGTAATAGATTGACTTTTTTCTTATTACCAAACAAATGATGTGATTTATAGAAGAAAAGTAGGAAGTAGACAAAGAACAAAATAAACACTCATAGTCTCCCTTCCTAGGAAAAAACACAGGCCTTTTTTTTTTTGCAATACATACATATATATTTTTTACAGAAATGGAATCCTTACTGTCTGTTACTTTACTGTCTTTGTTCACATCTCAGCATGTCCTAAACACCTTTTCATATCAATAAACATTCTTCTATAATATTTGTAAAGCTGCTTATCATTCAATTTTGTGGTCATATAATTTATTTATCTAATTCCCAATGTTTCCCACAATATTTTCTAATTTGTAAATGGTGCTGTAGTGAGTTATCTTAGTAGTTATTGTTGTCTGCACACTTTTACTCTTTCTTTACAGTAAATCTGTGAAACTATAATTGTTTAGTCAAAGGACTGCCACATTTTCTTTAAAATTAAAATGGCTGAGAACTTTTAATTCACACACCCCATATAAGGGACCTCATAGCTTCCAAGGCCTTCCTGAAAGAAATACCACCTCCTGTAGTATAGACTGCTTTGAAAACCAAACCCTAAGTCTGTTCCTGCAGAATACAAGGAAAGACTTAAGAGCAGGTTCCACACACACCAGCTGCAGCTTTGGACCTGAGCACACCCTGCACATGTCCCTGTGGGTGGGTCACTGTTCTGCACACTCTTGGAGAAGAACTCTCAAAGAGAACCAGCCTGTGCTGGGTCCCCTGGGACTCTACTAATGGGTATCTTTCTTCCATGCTGCTTTTGCAATATATCCTTTGCTGTTAAATAAAGAAAGGAAGAATAAGGTAAGAGCATAACAGGCTGTTTAATCTTAATACATCAGTGAATCACCGAAGCACTGAATTTCAACACATTGAATTCCCAACCTCACAGGGTCTCTTCTCTTAGAAGTTAGTGCATTGGGCTGGGAATGTAGCTCTGTAGTATGATGTGGTCGGGTGCCGGTGGCTCACACCTGTAATCCCAGCTACTCAGGAGGCAGAGATCAGGAGGATCGCAGTTAGAAGCCAGCCTGGGCAAATAGTTCATGAGACCCTATCTCAAAAACACTCTTCACAAAAAAGTGCTGGGGTGAAGTGGTTCAAGGTGTAGGCCCTGAGTTCAAACCCCAGTATTGAAAAAAAAAAAATGCAGTATGATGTGTGCTTATCATTCACAAGGACTGGGTTTGATTCCCAGCACTTGAAAAAAAGAAATATATATATATAAAGTTACTGCATTTGTTGGAAAGAATGTGATTCTGAACACTGAACATTGGGTTAGGTCACACGGGCAGATTGCAATGGAGTGGAGGACTTCAAATCTTTTGGGGCACTAGAAGCTGTGCTTCCATCCTTTTCTGGGGAAGTTATTCTTTTGCCATAAAACCTGATGATGAATTCCTGGAGTTGCCTGCAGACCCTATTCCCTCTCACTAGATTTAAATGTCCCCTCTAAAAATGCAAATTAAAACCACACTAAGATTCCACCTCACCCCTGTTAGAATAGCCATCGTTAGCAACACCACTAACAACAGGTGCTGGAGAGGATGCTGGGGGGTGGGGGGAAGGAACCCTCTTACACTGTTGGTGGGAATGTAGACTAGTATAACCACTCTGGAAAAAAATTTGGAGGCTACTCAAAAAGCTAAACATTGATCTACCATTTGATCCAGCAATACCACTCTTGGGGATATACCCAAAAGACTGTGACACAGGTTACTCCAGAGGCACCTGCACACCCATGTTTACTGCGGCACTATTCACTATAGACAAGTTATGGAAACAGTCAAGATGCCCCACCACTGACAAATGGATTAAGAAAATGTGGTATCTATACACAATGGAATTCTATGCAGCCATGAAGAAGAACGAAATGTTATCATTCGCTGGTAAATGGATGGAATTGGAGAACATCATTCTGAGTGAGGTTAGCCTGGCCCAAAAGACCTAAAATCATATGTTCTCCCTCATATGTGGACATTAGATCAAGGGCAAACACAACAAGGGGATTGGATTTTGATCACATGATAAAAGCGAGAGCACACAAGGGAGGGGTGAGGATAGGTAAGACACCTAAAAAACTAGCTAGCATTTGTTGCCCTCAACGCAGAGAAACTAAAGCAGATACCTTAAAAGCAACTGAGGCCAATAGGAAAAGGGGACCAGGAACTAGAGAAAAGATTAGTTCAAGAAGAATTAACTTAGAAGGTAACACACACGCACAGGAAATTAGTGTAAGCCAACTCCCTATATAGCTATCCTTATCTCAACTAGTAAAAACCCTTGTTCCTTCCTGTTATTGCTTATACTCTCTCTTGAACAAAATCGAGATAAAGGCAAAATAGTTTCTGCCTGGTAGTAAGGGGTAAGAGGGGGTAAGGGAGGTAGTGGGGGGGGTAGGGGAGAGGGTGGGGGGGGAGGGGGGAGAAATGACCCAAACATTGTATGCACATATGAATAAAATAAAAATTTTAAAAAATAAATGTCCCCTCTTAAAGCTCTATTGCAATGTGATTGCCACTGTGATGGGCTTGGGGAATGGGACCTTCAAGAGGTGAGTATGTTATGAGGACTCCACCCTCATTGAATGTATTAATGCCATTTTGGGGGAAGCAGATTAGTAATTATAGGACTGTCTTTGTTATAAAAGCAAGACATAGCCAGGTATGGTGACACACACCTGTAATCCCAACTACTCAGGAGGTGGCCTGCCTGGGCAAAAGAAAAGTTAGCAAGATTCCAACTCACTAATTCAGGCCAGCTATGTGGAAGGAGGCGGCAGGAGGATTGTGGTCTGAAGCTGGTCCTGCCAAAAGCATGAGACCCTATTTGAAAAACAAACTAAAACCAAAAGGATTGGGGGCATGGCTCAAGTGGTACTTTCTTAGCAGTCTCAAGGCCCTGAGTTCAATCCCTAATATTGCCACAAAATCTTTTTCTTTATAAACTACCCAGTTCGTGCTATTCTGTTAGGGCAGCAGAAAACAGACAGCCCTTGCTATAGTTCATTCTCCCTCAATGGGAAACCATGCCTTCATGGGGATTCCCTCTAATCAGGTGCCTGAAGGAGGAAACTCCCAGGCGTGGTTTATACTCAGTCCTGGGAGGATGCTGGAATCCCCTGAAAGAGCACAGCTGCAGCCCCTGGCGCCACTCTTGGGACAGCCCAGAAAGACTATCGTTAGGGGAAACCATCCCAGTGAGTGAAACCTGCAGCAGTGCACCTGGTTGCTCATTCTGCCTGACCTAGAGATGGATAGAAAGAATAGGTCTGTACCATATCCCAGTTTAGCAAGGTGGTCCAGGTCTTGGAAGAAACATGACTGGAATCTTAATGACAAGTTGATCTGAGGAAGAAACAAAGTACTCTGAGTGCAGATTAGGAAGATGCTGTGCCCTGTGTGAATGCTTCCCTGAAGAGTAAAGGAGGATTGGTGCATGGGACAACCCATTCTGTGGACAGACAGCCTCCTCTAGCCATTCCTGTGGCTGGCTCATGTACAAAATGTAGGTTATGCATGCACTCAGCAGCATGGACTCCCATTCGTCAAGGCTGATCTGGCTACAGCCACTGCTGGGTACCTCATCTGCCACAGAAGAGACAATGCTGAGCCCCTGACATAGCACCATGGCCTGGGGATCGCCAGCTACCTGGTGTTAGGTTGATTACATTGGATCATCTTCATTATGGAAGAGGCAGCTCTTTGTTCTTCCTGGCACTGACACTTGCTGTGGACATGAGTTTGCCATCCCTACCCACAATGCTTCTGTCAGTTACCTCCTGTGAACTTAACAAAATCCATTGGCTGTGTCATTCACAGTAAAGGAAATGCAGCCATCAGTTTACATGCGTTGAATTCATGGATCTCACCGTGCTTCCCACTGTCTTGAAGGAAGTGCCTTGACAGATGGCCAAATAGCTCATCGAACATTCATTATAGTGCCAGCTAGACCTTTCAGGACCGGGCACTGTCCTCTAGTATGTGTCGTAAGTCAAAGTCCATGTTTCTCCCACACCCAAGACTCGACATAAAAATGAAAGTCTTAATCCACTATTAACCCCAGCTATCCATGCAACTTAAGCTGGGTTCATCTTTGTTACAAAGGGAGAAGTGTTTTCACCACTGAACTGGAACTTGAAGCTGCTTTCTGGCTTCTTGGGTACTGCATCATCAGGCAAGGCCACCTGAACCAGTGACTGACCTTGACTGTCCTGTCAGGGGGAAGTTGGGCTGCTGCAATACAATGCACATAAGGAGAGGGAGGCCTCAGGAAATCCGTAGGGCCACACCTTTGTTCTCCCATAGTCTCTGATTAAGGTCAATGGAAATCTAACAATTCAGTTGAGACTGATCGTACTCCAGACCCCTCCCAAAAGATCTGGGTCATTCCATAAGGCAAGGAGCCATGACTGAGGTGCCTGCTGAGGGCAAAATAAAATGTGAACTAGTAGTGGGTGACAGTAACTGAGACCTAGTGACCATTGTAGGAGTGAGCACTGCATTGTTTATGAGTATTTCTTCCTTACGTTAATGTAATCTGTTTTACACACATGCACTGGAAATTAATGTGAGTCAACTCCCTGTATAGCTATCCTTATCTCAACCAGCAAAAACCCTTGTTCCTTCCTATTATGGCTTATACTCTCTCTTCAACAAAATTAGAAATAAGGGTAAAATAGCTTCTGCTGGGTATCAAGGGGGTGGGGGGAGAGGGAGGGGGTGGAGTGGATGGTAAGGGAGGGGGTAGGGGCAGGGGGGAGAAATGACCCAAGCATTGTATGCACATATGAATAATAAAGTAATAAAAATTTTAAAAAATGTAATCTGTTTTAATGATACCAAGTAGATAGATGACAGATAGACAGATAGATGATAGATAGATAGATAGACAGATTTTCATCTCCTCTCTCAAACTCTTGATCTAAGATGTGCTAATGGTAGATAACTTTCTATGTAAATATGTTTCAAGATGTCAAGGAGTTGGAGAGCCTCAATGGTAGAGCACCTGTCTAGCAAGGGCAAAGCCTTGAGTTCAAACCCCAGTACCACAAAAAAGAAAAAAAAAAAAGCTGCCAAGCAGAGCATGTGAATCATAAGGAAAAGAATGAATAGGCAAACAAAGGGTCTCTGATGTCCTTCTGGGGAAAGGTTGGAGTTCAGGGTTGTAAGAGGAACAGTGGTGTTATGTTGAACAGGGGCTGACT